TAAAAATATCTCAAAAGCTCACCACTCTAGTCCCTGCAAACATATTAACAATTTTGATCGACAGACAAACAAAAAAAACCGAATTCTTGTTCCAAAAAATTAAAAACAAAAACATTAAGAAATTCGAACAATTATACAAAAAAAAACAAAAATCCAGATATTTGTGTCACCGATTGGGTGGAAAATCTAACAGAGACCGTTATTCCGGAATACGTAAATGAAGTTTTGAGTCTTGGTCCAAATTTTGCTACACCGTTAGAACGAGCCGATCAGTTACCAATCGGTGACATAATTGCAGGTATCGAAACTTCCTTAAACGGTCTTAACACTCAAACTGGGGACGGGGTGCGATCGGAATGTTGCAATATAATAACTAATTACAAAAATAAATTCAACAAAAAACCAAAAAAAAAACAGATCAAAATAAACAAAATTCAAAACTATGCGCTAAAATTAAAAAAACAGAACGTTTCCTGAAACAACATAAAGAACTCAAAATTTTGATACCAGATAAAACAAATAAAACAGTTATTATGACGGACGCTCAGTATGACAAAAAATTGCTAGATCTACTAAAAGACAATACCACCTACAGAGAAATGAAAAACGACCCAACAGCTATTTTTCAAAGAAAGAACAACGACTTCGTGTCCTCCTGGGAAAAAAAGTTATACATTTCCCATAGCACAGCGCAAAGCTTAAAAATTCTTAATTCTCAGCCACCCACAATTTATGGATTACCCAAGCTTCACAAGGAATCCATCCCTCTAAGACCAATAGTATCATGTATCCAATCACCATTTGAAAAACTCTTTTAAAATTTTTTGCCCTTTTTGACATACCTTTTTTCTACAGATACGTAGACGATTGCATAACGGCAATACCAAAAAACAAACGACACGAAATTCTTCAACTCTTCAACAGCTACCATCAGAAATTACAATTTACAATAGAAATAGAGTCCCAAAGTAAAATCAACTTTTTAGATTTAACCCTTCATAATTTAAAAAAAGGAATTAAAACCGAGTGGTACACTAAAGTGACCTGGTCTTCCAGATACGTTAATTTTAACTCCCAGCATCCTATATCGCAAAAAAAATCCGTAATCATTGGCTTGGCTGACCGTGCAATTAAACTCTCTGATCCGGAGTTCAGAGAAAAATCGATTACTAAAACAAAACAAGCATTAAAACTAAACAACTATCCGGAACGATTAATTAACACCATTTTCAAAAAACGTATACAACTATTGTATAACCAAACTAAACAAAAAAGCAACACCCAACAAAAACAAAAAAACAATTATCTTTCGCTTCCTTATATACCCAGTATGTCCGAAAATTTTAGCAAAATTTTTATGACTCACAACATTACTATTGCTCACAAAGGATACAATTTGGTAAAAAACATTTTCAGTAAATTAAAAGACAAGATACCGGACGAAAAGAAGAGTCACGTCATTTACGAGATACCTTGCAACGATTGTGAGGGTGTGTACATCGGTCAAACAAGCCAGTATCTTAAAAACAGAATTAATGGTCACAAATACGACAAAAAAATACGACTGCCCTGAAGAGTCATTGCGCGGAAACCAAGCATTCTTTCAACTTTTCGAAAGTAAAAATTCTAAAAACCGAAAATAATACAAAAAAAAGGGAAATTCTGGAAATGGTTGAGATCCAAAAAAATAAGAACTCCATAAATTCGAAAACAGACACCAACAATCTCAGTAAGTTATATTGCAACATTCTGAAATAAAACAACAATGAAAGATACAACATAGGAATATATTAATATAAAATTATAATATATAAAAATAATTTAAAATAAATAAAAGAAAAAAATTATAAATTAACAAAAACACTCTGTATATCCTCTGAACCTTGCACCAAAACAATCGTGCATCGTACGATGTTTTTACAGTAACGTCGACGCGAGCAAACCTTGCGTATCGGTATTATTGTTATTATTATTTTTTTAAACTCTTATATATATTTTAACTGTTTCGTTAAATTTGTGTGTATTATGTGTGTGAGTGCCGTATACAAATCATTTTTTGTTGGACTTTTATCTTTTATCAAGGGTATGACTTTTTATTCTCATAGTTGGAAAAAAACCAAAACAATAATATTTCTAGGCACTATGACAAAACCAAACGCTCTTAAAATATAAACTTCCATATGATGCTACCTCTTCAATTTAAAATTTGTGTTTGTCTCTTTTTGGTAAGGTTCTTTGTAATTCCGTTGTGTATATGTAAAAAAAAGAACTGTACTATAACATAATTTTAGACTGTACCCCTTTCTGAAGAAGGTCATAGAAGACCGAAACGTCAATATTTGGACAAAAAATTTTAATCGCTTTTAATACAAAGACATATATATATATATATATATATATATATATATATATATATATATATATATATATATATATATATATATATATATATATATATATATATATATATATATATATATATATACATACACATATATATATTTACGTATTGATTCACGGATCGCCTGCAGACGTTTCGCCAAAATCTCACTTGGCATCTTCATTGCTCGCGCTCCGAAAACACCAGTGTTCGAAGTGTTTTCGGAGCGCGAGCATTGAAGATGCCAAGTGAGATTTTGGCGAAACGTCTGAATCTGAAATATATTTTAACCAGCCTATCTACGTTGGAATATCAATTATGGATATTGCCAAGACAACAATTTATAACTTCCGCTATAACTACATTCAAGAAAGATTTTCCAAAGCCCGAGTTTTATATACCGACACGGATTTTATTGTATACGAGATATTATCCATAGACCCGTGCGAGATTTTAAAAAAGGATTGTTTCCGGTATTTTGATACTTCTGATTATGCGGAGGATAATAATCCATAATCCGTACGATATACCTAGAGTCAATAAAAATGTTTTGGGTCTGATGAGGGATAAGAATAATGGATGAATATGTTTCATTTTCTCGCGAAGTATTCGAACGCGAATTTAAAAACTTGAGTGTACCGAAGAGAATTTCGTCGATTGTTTGCAAAAAAACATATCGCAGAATTTAATAAGAGCGACCAAACTGAATTTGCACACAGTCATCGTTAGAAATGTTGCTGTGGGGCCACTATTCAATTATGGAAGAAGAAACTATCTCCGCCTGTTTGTAAATGTGTTTTATTGGTTTTGCTTTGAAACTTCGTTTTTCTTAAAAATCGAATGAGGTGCGCTTAAGGACTTACTTCACGTCTGCCAGCCTCGTTAAATTATTTTAAAAATACATGAAATATTTTGATCTTTTTCATTATACTTTGTGCAAATTTAGAATAAAAATGACCGGAAGTCCTTAATATTTTTCGCTTATTACCTCCGACTACTTTTATTATATTTTCCACTGCGAATAAAGAATGTTTAATGTATTAATAAATAGTTGGACTCATGTTAATTTGGTTTTTAATTTTTGCAACTAACCAACGTTGTGTACGTGTCTACCGTTAACAGCAAAAGTGTTTATCAATCTAAAAGAGATTTATTTAAAGATTAAATGTGCTATTGGATTCAATTTTTTAATATATTCAACTTTATCTCGAATTAATTTGCGATGTCAATGCCTCGCAACCGCAGATAAGAGACTACGGTGCGGTGATATCCTAGTGGGCGGATGCATCGCCTTGTGGGAGGGTGGTTGGGGAGAGGCGGGTGAGAGTTGAGTGGGGGGGTTGAGGTTTGAGGTAGGGGGGTGGTCGGTTGTTGCTAAGAGTTGCGGTGGATCGAATGACCTTGAGCGAATGACCTTTTAGGAACTTACATGTAAAAACGGCCGAAATTGCTGTTGGATCGAATGACCTTGAGCGGACCAATTTCCGCTAATATGAACCTTAAATTTTCTTATGGGAATTTACATATACAAACAGCCGAAATTACTATTCAACTGTCATAGGTATTCTACTAACGTCCTTAAACAAATTTGATCTTACTGACCTAAACGAATTACTTTACTTGAATTGTCCATGGTATTAACAAGAAATGCATTGATTTTTTGAGCAAGGATACTTCTTAAAACTTGTAATCTTTTCCCAAAATCTAAAGGACGTTAATTTTTGAAAGGAGTGACCGTAAACAAATCCTGTTCTAAACATTCCAAGTTCCGTCTATCGCCAAAAAAATTTAACAAAGATGCTTTAATATTTTCCCACGTTACTTAATAAATATTGTTTTAAAATTTAGTCGCTTCCTTGACCATTCATTGTAAAAAGGGAATCTCCAGCTGATAGAAAACCATTTAAAGTATTAGGATCACCATTATATGGCAGAATAGTGTCGTTAAACACTTTTAATAAAGTGTAATTTACACCTTGTGCAGGTCATTAGACTATTTTCTACTGTATTTTACACTAAATTTAAAGAAGTAAAGAACTCGTTTAAATTGTCGACGACTTTAATTTCATTCGTAAATTTAATTGATTTTAAAATTTCTTAAAATTGAACTTGCGACAGTATTTAAAATTATTGTAAAAAAAATTAAGAAAATTATTAATATTTTCGAACAAAACACTTTTTTATCTTAGGAGGCCTGTTTTGATATTATGGCACAACTTTTAAAGCTAAACAACTTTTGTTAATAATTTTTTGCCGATTTTTTTGAAATAACGGTACTGTACTATTGTGTAATTTTTGTAGTTTTGGAAATATTAGTATTTTAGTTGTACAGTTAGTAAAAAAAAATCTTTTATCTTGCACACTGTATACAGCGACATTTCAGATACCTTTTTTTTGAAAATTACCCCAAACTTTTACTCCAGAGTGGCAATTTTATACCATGAAGAGTAAAAATTCTAGCTATTTTTATTAGTGTCAAATATAGAGATCAAGAATAATTTTGTTGTACAAAATATTACTTAGCAGAGATCTAAATTCGATGCAGAGCTTATCATTGACTTTCTACGCTCTCTACTGTAGCATGGTCAATCGTTTTCTTTATTCCGTGTTTTTTTTTCAGGTTGACCATAAAATTGAGCAACAGCGATATGAATCGAGCGTTCTCCCTGCTATCACACTGGCTTTGTTACGCCAACAGTGCCATAAATCCAATTATCTATAACTTTATGAGCGGTAAGTGTCCCTTTCAATATATTTTGAGCTAATAATACGAGCCTATTGTCCCCGAAACATGGTCTGGATTTTTCACCGCCTGAAAGCGATGTTTTCTATAGTCACTGGAAGACTTTCAGTGTGCCGGAAAGTTTGCAGAAAACCCATTGTGGTTAGGCTAAAATATGGCACAAATATATTGAAAAACCAGATATTTTTTTCTAGCGCATTTTTTGCAGTAAATAGAAAATTTATGGGGTGGGTCAAAAAGTAGATGTCGATACCAAATTCCTCTTTTTAAATGGAATACGCAAAATGCATGTAGTAGTATACCTATCAGTTTTTTTTCATGGACAAAAGAATAAAAAACAGACATTTAATTTTGAAATTCCCAGGTAAGTAGCTAGTACCAGTAAAGTTCTTAAATTGTCTTACTTACATTTCGGTCAGTAAAAAGTAAAAAGTGAATATGAATTAAAATGAAATGTTACCCAGATAATTCAAATTTTATTTTTATTTTTTAAAATTTTATTATATTCTGAAGTAGCTTTAGTAGCAACGAACAGCTTTATGTACATTAAAAGAAAAAAAATTTCATCCTTATAAGATTACATTGCTACAGGAACTGAATGAAGATGATCCCGACCCAGAGTATAGTTGTGTAAAATTATGATGAAAATGGGCAACACTTTCTCTATTTTTTCATTGTCAGAATCTGTTTAGTGATGCAACCACGTCTTGTTTAAATAGTACTGTTAATAAACAAAATTCTAGGTAATACAGTATATATAATCTCAGATAGTTGAGGGAAAATCATAAACTATATCCCCAAAAGATGAATGTTTGGGCAACGATGTTAAATAACGAAATGACTTAATTCCTACTCTTGTAGTTTCTTTCTGTGGATGTTGTAGTGGGTCTTTCTCAATATTTTGTTCTCGTTTTGTCTCCATATCCAATAAAAATTAAAATTCAATTCCCTGAGTTTCACTTGCATGCACCATATTCACTTTCCTTACTGACAGAAACTGGCAGAAATGTAATTGTGATAATTTGAGAACTTTACTGGACTAGCTACAATCCAACATTAAATTTCTGGTTTTTATTCGTTTGTTCGTAAAAAGTAAGAGGTATATGGTATATGGTATGCTACATGAACTATGCATGACATTTGACACAGAATTCGAAAATGGATTTAAAGAAATAGTGTTCCATTGAAAAAAAGGAATTTCATATCGACATTTGCTTTTTGACCCACGCTGTATATTTTAAAATTATGATGGACATAGGGGAGCGTGGGGTAACTGCGAACAATTAAGAAAAAAAATCGTAACTTTAAAACTATTGTTAGTACGATCATGTGTTTTGGTATGGATCACCCAGAAATGTTTTTAAAGTATATTCTAGTAATTGGAACAGTCCAGGTTAAAAAAATAAGTAAAAAAAATTTATTCAAAATATGCTGCAAATTCGGTATTACCCAAACTGTGCCTGTAATACCGTACAGCTATAGGGTAATGCCAAACAGAAACAAAAGACTTATTTTAATATGAATTGAATTCACGAATGTAGTCTTTTGGTGTTGCGACACCACTGCAAAGCTTGTGTATCCAACTCCCCACATGCAGCACAACGATACCAAATTTCGTCTTTACCAATTTCGCCGCACACCAGACACTCTTCTCCTTCATTTTGTTCTAGCTACATATTTTCTAAATCCATATCATCTAATTCGTCATCATCACATAGGTTTTTCTCATTTATATCACCTTCATCTTCACTACTAGACGAGTTAAACACTTGTCTAATGACCTTTTTTTTATATATATATATATTTTTTTGTGTACTTTCTTACCTCTTTTCTCTTTTTCTTCTTTTATCATCTTTTTCTTTTGCCTCTCCCCAATACCAATTTCAAAGGCATAGACGCAAGGGTTGCTAATTTCTGTTTTGAGCGTCGTCTTGGCTGTTTTGAGTGTTTTGGGTCGGCAGGGGCTTTTTTTGGCAAAGGTATAATTTCATTAAATGAGTTATTATAAATATTATTGTCAATACTCGCCACTATCGATTTTTCTGTGATTGGTTCAGCTGAATTCAGGCAAACATAAAAGTCATCCTTACGAAATACAACAGGATTAATAGCCTTTTCAAAACCCTCTAGCAGTAGAGAGAAATATAGGCTTTGGTAAATCTACCGTTAACATCAGTCATCAAAATCCTTTCAGATGGTCTCGATTTTAGAAATAAGTCAAAAGTCAAGTCCAGTGGCTGAATACGATGGGACGTGTGTAAAGGTATTGACAACATATGAATTCCATTCTCCTTACAAAATTCGTAGATTTGTAATGATATGTGACTTGTATGATTGTCTTTGGTAGTGTGATTGTTGAATGAGAAATATATCTTCCGTCATCCAACCATCATTCTAGGGTAAATGATTAAATGTGGGGTAAATGAACCACTCGCACTCATACAACAATATATCGTAATATCTTTTCCTCTTTCCTTACTAGTTATAGCTCCAGTTTGCTTTTGCCCTTTCTTGGCAATGATTCGAGGCAGTCTGTTAACGGTAGTGATTTCCGATTTATCAACGTTGACTATGTGAGTTGGGGAAAATATATCTGACCATCAAGTCCTGAAGATTTAAAAAAAAATCTGTCTTCGTTAAAGGCTGGAATTCTAGTAATACTTGTCTCTTCTGGTTTTCTAAAGCTGAGTTCCGGATGCCTATTCATAAATGCATACATCCAGTCTTTACCCGCTTCCTTCTTATCTCGATTAAATTTCTGAGTGATAGATAACAATTCAGCATACGGAAAAGCAGCACGTCTCAATTGAATTGGTGTAAGACCGTACCGTAAAATCTTTGTTGCTGTATTTAATTCAATAAAATATCTTTATTGTGCACGAACATCCATTCACGGTAATGCCGAACAACTGATCGCCATTGCCCAAAAATGCATCTGAGATTTTTTGTAGATAAGTATTTATAAAAAATTATAATATTTGAAAAAATGATTATACAAATGGTTAGATAAGACGTAGACAATCATATCGGTTGCTAATTTCGAATGAAATGTTAAGTTATTAATTTACCTTCATATTGCAGAATCAAACACAATAACACAGCACGTGAAAACTTAACAAACGCCATTACTTTTACAACAGGCCACCTAGATCCATTTCCTATCGATTTGTTAATAATAATTAATAATTTAATACAGTTTCCTACCATACCACACTATTTTTGGTTGTCAATAGATATCAGCACAAGACATAAATAGCTGTTCGACATTATCCGCAGTTCGGGATTACTCCCCTCTACCCTAAAATTCTGACGGGTGTGTGCAAGCACTTTTCTTGAAATTGAACACCTGATTTTGAAATGAATTTGCTGCATGGTTTAGCCGTTCACTGTATATGTGATTGACAAGTTATAATATTATTGAAAACTATAAAGAAGCAATCTATCTATAAAACTGGTTGTAAAAAGTATAAAATAATTTACATAAATTCAGCAATATACAAACATACAAAGACTTCAATTCAAATGCACACAGCCATAAATAAGAATGACAGCGAATCCGTTTGATTTTACCAAGATCTAAGAAACGACGTAAACATTGTAAACAATTTAGTTGTAGTATACCAACTCCTAACAAGGTTACATCAGAGGAATTTAAAATTAATTTAATCACCATTTTTGTTTGGGATTTCTAATTTCTCCAGAAGATCAAGTTTTTTTACTCTTTGTGGACGAAAGTTAAGTAGCGAAAGCAGATTTGGTCTCCGTCATGTTAATGTCCTTGTACTTTTTTACCAAACTCAGATATTCGTGAATCCTGATAAAGATCTTTCTTGCACACTGTCCGGTATAAACTGGATTACAAGCCTCACAAAAACATACCATCAATCTGGAAAAATAATGTATTGGATTCTATTGTTTCAGTCTATTGTTTGATTTAAACGTTATAGATAAATTCCTACTCTTAAACAACTTATTATGTGTATTCTTTGCCGAATTGGTAAAATAACTTATTGATAGAACGAGGTGAATAACCGTAATGGAATGCAATTTGTCTAACCGTAACCAATTCCTTATAAATGCTTCTTTTAAAAATGAAAATAAAAAATCCTATAAAACAAAGAATTAAAATAGTCAAATTTATAAGAAATGGGATGAGTCGGAGCACATTGTACTGTCTGGAATCTCAATATTCCTCAAGTAACTAGTCAACTCCAATGAATTTTTGGTAGAATATGTACTCTGAAAATCAGTCTAAGAACTATGTGGAGCCGTGAAGCTAGATTCTATGCAGGTTAAGCTGTGAATGACACTACGGGTCGAATGTATCTTAGGAAGCCCATTTCAAAGGAATTTTGGGACACATAAGATATAGTCCCATTTGACTATATTTTTATAAACAAAATTTATATAACAGCATATAATATTTAGAGGAGTTTGCAATTTTTTGGTTAGTGCACCAGAAAATCCTCTCTAGCGGCATTGCTAAGAACACACAATCAATACACCATTTAAGAATTTAAGGCTAAATTTCAAATTTTAGTTGATATGGGGCTGTAGGTAAATTTGAAAAACTTCTAGAGATTTCTTCCATAAACTTGTTTAATTGGATATATGCCACTTTCTTAAAAATAAGGACAACATGTTCACATGAAATATCCGATATTAGCACTCGCCAATAACTATGGCATTATGTATTTCAGAAATTCTCAGTAATGTTCTAAACAGTTCTATCTGTACAATAAAATAGCATTTTTTCAATAAACATCGATACAAAAATCTTTCTCCTAACAAACATATTTCCAACACATAGATATTAATTACATTGTAAATCGTAGCAAAGAACACAACTTAATTTCAACATTGGAATTAAACTTCTTATAAACCGGACGTACAAGTACATATCAGTTTAGCAAATATAACCAGGCGTTTTGCATACTAAAGGCGAGAGTCGAGAAGTCCGGGAGGTCAAATTACTCAATTCATGAATACCACGGCTTTATCTAGAATTTTACTACTTCCGGTTATGTTAAAAAGTTACAATCAAAGTAAAGCCGCGCCCTCTATCTTTCGAACTTTTTGGGTTTATTCCTTCTCTTAAATAATTCATAAGCCCTTTTTATTTTTCTTTATTTTGTCCAGTTTGTCCACGCTTTAGCGGGTACAAGAATTTATTCATTTCTGAGGAGCTATATTTCGTGATTGCCTCGAATCCTTAAAAATTTTCCCGATTTGCGTGCAAACTGTTTTGAAAACAGGTTGCTATTTAAAAAACAGACCTTGGTTCAGTTTTGTTATATTCTCGTTATATTTCTTTTTTTGTCCGGTGATAATTCTTAATAATGATTCTCAAGTTACACCATTTTAATCTCTCACATTTCTCAGTCATAAGCGTTGTCTCCTGCTCGTTCCTCTTCTACGACAAATAAATGATCAGCAGTTGCTGAATATAATTTTGAAACCTAACCAAACTAAAATTGTTGCATGTAATCAATTCTTCTGCCAGAGAGAAGTTCAAGAATTCCTAGAAATTTATAAACAACCAAACAACCTTAATCGCGATTCCTTTCCATTCAACAGTATCTAAATAGGTACAGAATAGAATGCAAAACAGTTTCAGTTAAGCTCTGAGGAAGTTAACAAGGCGATTTGTAAAGCGTCAAGTTCGATTCAGAAGATTTGTAAATAGCGTTACAGTAGCCTGTGGAAGCGTCTTTGAAAAATTTGTTTTACGTCTTTTGATAATTTCTCAATCTAAGTTTATTTTTATTAGAATCGTTTCATTGATTATATGCTTTATAAGCATTCGATCCATTCCCGCATTTCATTTCATTTTATATTCTTGATTTTTTCTTGGAATAAGAGAATGTGTTAAATGTATGAATTATTTAGTCTGGGGAATGCAAGTTCTATGCGGCGGCGAATCTGTGGTTCCACATTCCAATCATTTCTTATCCACCATCCTGGGTATTTGAATCTATCAAGCTACTCTATTCATTTGTTACAGATGGATGTATCGGTCTTCACACGTGCATTTTTAGAAACTACTACCTTTGTTTTCGTTTTTTCTGTATTCATTCCAAGACCAAATGTGTCTCCCTTTCTTGCACTCTCGTCAATAAGCTTTTGAAGCCATTATTGGTTATTATGTTATTATATCTTGATTTGGAGAGGCATACTTTCTGTCCGTACCCTGTCTTATGGATGCCATTTGCTTCAGATACAAGTTTTTAGTTACATTACATATTTGGTCGAACGCTTTTTCATAGTCGATGAAAGAAAATGCAATTTCCTGTAAATATCCCATATTGGTCTAATTGAGGTACTTAACTTAACATATATTATTATTAACTTAACAATGTAAAGTTGTAACTCATATGAGCGTCGTTCGTTGGATCGCATCCGGCTCGAAGAACCATTATATGCAAATTCCAGCACCCAAGTGAGCAGACATGCTCGTTCCCTTTTTTTTTTTAATTCCCAATTGAAAACTACCAAACGGGAGAGAGGAAAACGTGGACATTGAAATTTATACTTAAAAGTCGGTTTATCAAATGTGAAAATGTTAATTAGATCCCAGTGCGTGAAGCAAAATTTCTAACGAAAAAAAGATTAAAAACCTAACCCAAACACATTAATCTCAAAAACATTTGATAAATTATTTCCGTAAACAAAAATCAATTTCGCATCTCCCATCAGGAACTGAAATGTCCGTTATACATGCAGAAGAAAGAAGAGTTAAGCTTCCATCTTCCGAAAAAAAAAGACAAAAAAATGAGAATATTTTTAAAATCTTTGCGACAGCATTGTTACATCTACCCTAACCAGCACTTCATTTTTTAAAATATAATTCGAATTCAATAAAATAGATTCAAAAATTCTACAACTTTCTATGTAACATTTGTTGTCGCTTCTTTGAGGTGTTTTGGAGATAATTATTTTTTATAAAACTCTTTCAACCATTTTAGTTAAAAACCTGAAATTTTGTTTACGGGTCGCCAATGGGATGCTGTGTTATAAGCTATCGCGTATGTAAACGTAAATTAAAAGTTGAAATTTAAAGAAAAACAGTAGAATGATGGAATTTTCAGTAGTAAGCCATGGCGATATCGTTTGATAGCTCAATTATATAGAATTTATCAAACAATTTATCTTATTTATAAATAGAAATTACAGCAAAATGATCTTTAAAAACTATAATCTACTATAAATTTTAACTCTTGCGCCAATTAATAGTTTCATAATAAATATTGTAATGGGTGTTTTTTTTTTCGATGTATAGAACTTTAAGTTGGCATTACTGTTCAAGATGGCGACCGACTTAACCGCTGTCAAGTGATTTATTCTTAGTTTACCGACAAAACGAGATTGCCGTTGTTCCCGATTTTCATAAGCGAATTTTGTTTAGCAATGAAGCGCACTTCTGATTGAATGGCTACGTCAACAAACAAAACTGCCGCATTTGGAGCGAAGCTAATCCTCAAGTGTATTTCGAAACACCGTTACATCCAGAAAAACTGACTGTTTGGTGCGCTTTATGGGCTGGTGGAATCATTGGTCCGTACTTCTTCAAAAACGATGATGGCCAGAACGTTACAGTCAATGGTGATCGGTATAGAACTATGATTACTAACTCTTTCATTCCTGAATTGAATAACCATGATGTCCAAGAGATGTAGTTTCAACAAGACGGCGCAACATGTCACACAGCTCGTGCCACAATCGATTTACTGAAAGACACGTTTGGTGACCGCCTAATTTCACGTTTTGGACCTGTGAATTGGCCTCCAAGATCTTGTGATTTACCACCGCTAGACTACTTTCTGTGGGGCTATGTAAAGTCATTGGTCTATGCGGATAAGCCACAAACGCTTGACCATTTGGAAGACAACATTCGCCGTGTTATTGCCGATATACGGACACAAATGTTGGAAAAAGTCATCGAAAATTGGACGTCCAGATTGGACTACATCCGCGCCAGCCATGGCGTGGTGCCCGAAATCATGTTTAAAATGGAATGATACAAGATTATCTTTCAGATAAATAAAATTCATTTCAATTGAATAAGCCATCCTTGTTTTATTACAACTTAAAGTTCTATACATCGAAAAACACACCCTATAGTTAAATACATGCCAATAGAGCAAATTTCAAAAATAAATAAAATGCATAATTATAAGATACATTAGTTTCTTCAACACACCAACTTTATAAAAAGAATTATTTGAACTGATAAGTGTATTTATGAAGAAATTCACACTTTTGGGTTACACAAATCAGCATTTTGTTTGTTAGATCAATATTTCGTTGTTTTAATATTAATTCGTCACATTAAATTGCACACAATTATCCCGTTAGCAAGCAAACAAAATTTGAAATTTTTATGTAAAACGGTTAAAAATAGATAATTATGAATGATGATGATGATGATGATGAATATTTTTATATAGGCCACCAATTTTGGGAAACCCTTATAATAGACATTTTCATTGTTTTTTTATGCAAATTGTGCTTGTTTAAGGAAACGTGTGCATTAAATATAACAAATGGAAATTTTCAATATTTTTTTTTGTTGTGTTGCAGGAAAATTCCGGCAAGAGTTTAAATCGGCTTTTTTTAAATGCGGCCAAATTGACCGCTCAGAACTGAACTTCACCAGGACTAGCACCTACATCTATCGGTACACTACCACGACGCACCGTCACAGCAATCGATCTAAAACCGAAACGATACCGCTCAGTACTATTAAGTAAAACAAGTATATAAATAAAATTTGTGTAACATATTGGACGTTTGATTTTGGTGTATCCTGGTACGCCCAAACTAGTAACTGTAGATTTTATGAAATTAATCAAAGGTAATTTTGGAACGTTAAATGGTGGAAAGTCGGAATAACTTGAACGGTTTTTTCCATGTTTAGCCCTCTTGTCATCATTTGGTGATCGTCTTTCCTAAGAAGAGCTTGATACTTACGTTCTAGTTTCTGGCTCTTCAGTTGTTTGTCCTTTTCGGAACGCCAGAAAGCCAAGTTATTTGCTATATCCCATAGGACTGGTATTATTGTATTGCTTAGCTGTAAGTGAAGCTTGAGTAAATTGCTTTCTAAGCTCGCGATATTCTTTCTGGTGTTATGAATAGTCTACTTCGCAGTAGCACCCAAAACGATTCCAAAAGAAGAAATTATATCCGAGATCGAAACAGTCATCGACCACCTGGAATCGAACACTGCTGAAGAAGTGAGACAAGATGTGGCCCGCATTCTTAGAAAAGCAAAAACACCAGCTTCAAGCATCACCAAGGACGAAAAACCAGCGCTAATCTGCCTTAGAAAGAACAAAGAAATAACGATTCTACCAGCAGACAAAGGGAACGCCACCGTAGTCATGAATACAGAGGACTACAAAAGGAAGATGCAACAGATACTGGAAGACGACTGCTACAAAAAGGTATCAAGGGACCCAACAACTTATCTGGAAAAAACCACCAAAGCAAAGATCATGGAAGTTATCCAGGATGAGCAGCTGCAAAAGAAACTTATACCTCGAGAATAGTCAAGCAGGTGTCCCAAACTTTACGGTTTACCAAAAATCCACAAGAACGACGTACCACTGAGACCAACCGTAAGCACCTTCAATTCCCCAACACAGAAGCTGGAGAAGTATCTAGCTAACATACTGCAACCTATCGTGGAAGCCAAGGCATCTTATGTAAAGAACTCCGAACACTTTTTACAACTGATAAAGGAAATCAACATCGATCCACAAGATGTCTCGGCTAGCTTCGATGTGAAATCTCTGTACCCAAGTATACCTATGACGAGGCTTTGGACCTGATTGCAATGAACGAAGACATCCCATCACACGTCATACAGCTAGCGGAGCACTGCCTAAAGAACACGTATTTTAGATACGATGGTCAGCTCTATAGACAGACAGATGGCGCCCCAATGGGGTCATCACTTTCGCCAGCGATAGGAAACCTGTTCATGGCCTATTTCGAAGCTCAAGCGATCCGAGAAAGTCAACTCAAGCCGAAGCTCTGGATCCGATACGTCGACGACATTTTTATCCTATGGTCCCACGGGGAGGCTAAGCTAGATCATTTTCTAACTTACTTCAATTCTTTACACGATAGAATCGAGTTCACCATAGAAAAGGAGAAGGACAAACAACTACCATTTCTGGACGTCCTTTTGACACGATCAGACGGGAGAAAACTGCAACATCAAGTATATCGCAAACCTACTCGCACCGACAGGTACCTGAATGCACAATCGCACCATCACCCTAGTCAAATCCAGGCCGTTGCCAATACTCTGATCTGCAGATCGGTGAGACTCACAGACGAAATCCATAACAAGCAAGAAATGGAAAAAATCACACGAACACTGAGAGACAATAACTATACGGAGTCTACTATACGAAATGCCAAGAGGACGAACACAAGGACACGGCGAGACTCAACTAAAGAACAGGAAAGGGAAGACATACCTTCAACTACTTTGCCATATGTAAAAGGAGTAACTGATCAAATAGGAAGGATTCTGAAACGACATCACATCAGAACAACATACAAACCACACAAAACAGTGGGTCAACTAATAGGAAATCCAAAGGACCCTTCTCACCTAGAAAATCAAGGAGTTTATCTGATCCCGTGTAGAGACTGTCCAAAATATTACATAGGACAAACTAACAGAAAAATATCAGCCAGAATCGAAGAACACAAACTGGCTGTAAGCAACAAACAAATAGCAAGAAAAAAAATGAGACTGCATCACTCTTGTGCGATAAATTAAATTTTAAATACCAATTTCGCAAGGACGGTTCTTGTGCTTCCGTTTACCATACAAACGATTACTACGAATGGCTAAAAAATGCATTTTTTCAAATAATATTATATCTTTCAAAATTTTTCAACTTGCCAAGAGCCTTATGGAATCTACCATTCTCTAAAATCTAATAATGAAATAATGTGCAGGTGATTCCATTTAAAATAGAATGGGTGAATGAATGCTGTGAGATATGCTATCCTATATAATAGCAACTGTTTTCAGTGCATGCAACGCATTCATACAAACAACTTTACTCATTCAAATAAAATACACGTTCTTACGGAGATACAAAAAAATCCTACAGTAGTGAGCTACCCTCACATACTAGTATAATGAACCTAAAATGTAATTGGATGTGAACTATGTCACAGACTAGATTAAAAAAAGACGAAAACGTATACATAAGTCGGAACCAAATTTGTTTAAATTTCTGACCTCCGTTAAATAAGCAAATTTAAAGCAAACATTTCCTATTTAACACATAAACACGCTGTGCATTTAAAAGCTTTCATAATGAAATCAAATCGAGAAAAAATCGTCTCCTCCATCGTCGCATGTTACAGAGACGGCGGATTTTAATTTCTGGTGAAAATTCGTTTTAAATACGCAGGAAACGGGTCGGTCTGTTTGCTTTATCTCGTATTACTAATGGAAAAACTGATAAAAGAAAGTTGCAGAACGTGGACACTATTAAATGCTAGACGGCAGTAAAGAAATATTGACTACGAACTACTCTAACTTAAAATAGATACCTATTTAATCGTTTATTTAGGTTTTCTTATACAAGAATTAACTTCTTCAGTTTAAATCCTTTAAGTATTGAGAAGTTCCGAGGGGTCAAATCTGGACTCCTTGGTGGCCAAACAAATTCACTCAATTTAAAGACAGAATCGCAAGAAGCAAAGCGGAAAAACTCCTATTGCCTATAAATGGAATTAAAAACGTACAAAATAAGGATTAAATATTGTTATTAAGCCGTTTTGCACACAACCTGGGATGTTCCACTTTCTGTCAAATCAATCGATCAATTTTCAATAATGAATTGTTCTTGGACAGCAAACAGATGAAGACGAGCACAAAGAGGAGGAGGCGGATGGAGCACCTCGTCCAAAAGTTCAATCTTTAGACAACTTCCTTCTTCCTGAAACAGTAGTCACATCAGCCGAGAATGCACAGACAAACAACGACTCTATAACCTTTGACAATTCCGTTGCTATTCAATCCGAAAAGCTACGTTACTCAGATAAAAAAAATGTGATTCGATTTATCTAAATTATACGGTGCAAAAAGAAAACTAAAACTGTCAATTTCTATTATTGTACTATAAAAACTTCCTCAATAAATGAGAAAATTCGGAATTGGTTGATAATGTTTTGGTGTATACTAGCTTATTCTTTGTGGGAAAAGCGACTTTTTGAAAATAAAAAAGTAAAATCACACAAATCATCACAAAAATGCCGCAATACTGTGAAGTGTGTAATGAACTTTGCTGTTTAAATTCCGAAATGATATTTAATGTTTATTTAAACAATTCGAACACATGTTTCCTAGATTTCACTCATCCCTTGCCCATATTGCTATCACAACAAAGGGACTTTTATGCGATCTCTCTTAGTTAGACGTCTGTACTAAGACTAAAATCATTCGAGGACGTAGACGAATATTTTTAAGTAAATCGGTGGTACATGAGCTGCTGTAATTGCTGATGGACGTAATAATTTTGATCTAGACAACAAATTAAATTAAATGGCGCTAACAGCACAGATTAATACAACCAAACCGAGGCGAAATATTTGGTCGGCATCTTTAACATCACCGATCAAAGAGGAACTGACACTATTTGAGGATTTACACCGCGAAAAATTTACGAGATAGGAAGCACAAATACTGAAAAACTATTTATTGATTTTATGGAATAAAAATGATTCGTACACATTTCCCATGAGACTGTTCCAACGCCTGAAAGCTGTTAACAAATAATATTTCAAGTTACCATAGTTATATATAGTAAGGATATCGGAAATTATCGCAGATGAAAAAGAATTTTAAAAAAATTTATAAAAAAATTTCTTAGCGTAGCAGATACAAAAGCTTCACCTTCAAAAAGTATGCTTACTAAATATATACATGCAATTTTGTGGAGACATATTACATTAAACTCTTCTCAGAATATCTCAGTGCCAATGACAAATCTTTTAAAAATAATAAGTGAAACAAACAAACGCAGAATACAAATCTACAAAAAATAATATCCTAAAATAGCAGAATATATTTTTCTCTTCTTTATTTTCCTTATTATAAAGTGTCAATTTTTAAACCTGAAAAGTGTATATTTTTATAACTTTCAAAATACCATACCTGTTAATTTATATGCTGTAATTATTACAGTTTATATCAATATTGTGTTAATTCTTTGCAACTGTAAACTGGTGGGGAATATTTAAACATTTTCTGAAATAAATTTCCATATTTTCAAAAAGCAGTTTAATAAAACTGAAGTCGTTAAAAAGGGCGTTTCCTAGACTATCAATCGTGCTATGACGGCATTGCAATTGACTCTGCCGTAAACTGTTATATGATATGAATTATATGTTCAAAGATAGGTTAATATGAGTCAAAAAATGCAGTAAAACTGCATCTCAAGTTCTCTAGCCAAAATACTCTAACCTAAAATTTTTCCACTTTGCAGACTCTTATTATTGTCTAGTTGTCCGGAATTTACCAAATAAAAAAATGATATTTCTGTTTATTACTTTTTTTCACAATACTTTCGAAGGGCACCAAATTACCCGGTAAATGAGATTTCTACGTTTTGACAAGTTTGGCCATTTTCATAGTATGTAATATCACTTATTCTCCCATTAATAATCAGTTTTGTCAATGAATTGTTGTGTATTTAAATAATCAGTATTGTTCTTCGTTCCTAAAGCGTCGATGTCTTCTAGGCACTCAATTACGAGGAGTTTAAGTAAGACGTGTTGCGGTCTTCACATAATGTTCTGCGGTTACGTGAAAACACATAATAAAATCTCGTCGAATTCTGGAGTAAAATAAACAACATATATTTGCGAAAATGAAGGATACACCTGAGAGGAGCAGTATTGGGAACCCGATACTGTCCCACGATAAACAATCAAAACAAAATAACACTCTTTGAGGCGGCCTGCCGGGTCCGAATTCAAAAACGGTGAACCAGCCTCCTCACCTCGCAACTCCATACTACCCGTCCGTTTCCAGCGCTACCGTTTTAACCCCCCCACTCGCAGAGTTCCAGGAACTTCCATCGACTATCGCGGGCGCACTACAGACGTTAGGCAATCCAGAGATTTAGAAAATGAAAAAAAGTTTTTTCAATAACTTTTCAAGTGGTTTTTCACATTTTAAGACGTCAACAGTTAAAACAATTAGTCATAACACTTGTTAATGTGCGAAAGGGATTTTTATACTTTTAGACAATTAGCGTGATCTGCCAAATAGTTGATATAGTCGACCTAACGGTCGTTCTAAGCTCAACAAGTACAGACTCGAAGGGGTTCATAGAATACGCACGCTCTACAGTTGTAATTTCTTATTCTAAATTTCTTTCTTCAAAGCAGTTAAGTTGATTAGCAGCGTAATACGTGAAACATTAAATTTGTCAGAACCAGCATATTTTGAAATGCAACAGAATAACCAATTACTCCAGTGGGTAAAACACTACCACGTGTATGGTAGCAGGCTCCTCTACTTTCCGACATTCGAATCTCTTCTATCTCAAACGGCTTTCAGTTGTTTGAGGGTAAAATTAAGACATGTTTACTCAAATATCCGGGGTGAGTTGAAATCATCGTATGTCGAGAAAGACGTGTCACCTGCATATTATTAGCTGTGGCTTGTCTTGAATGAAACGTAGGGCCGTCCTGAACCTAACACATTTTCCGCAACGCAATTTTACTGCTGCTTCGAAGAAGTAGCATCAACTTTGATATTTTAAATGGGACATAATGTATATTATTGGTATTTCCGTTCTGAAATTAGTTTTTGGTTATTTTTGTATAATACCCTCTATATCAGTATTTTGGATCAAATTTTAAATATTTTTTAGTAGTCTACGTATGTAGTCAATCAAGCGGTTGGTTTTGAGTCTGAAAACAGCAAAACATTGATTTATGTGTTATAACTGAAACAAAGAAAAAAGGTAAAGAAAGTGAAATAAAAGATGAATATATCCATTTCTATAGCGGAGAAAAGCCTAAGAGCAAAAAGAGCGATACACAAAAAACACAGGAGCATAATAAACAGTTGGAAAGAAATTGGCGAACGGATTATTACAATGAACAACAAAACAACAAAAACAACAAATGTGCATTTGATAAAGACACGGTATTGTCTAAATAATTGTCGTGTAAAAATATATAATTTCGTGAAAATCTGAATTTTTAGTTCTTATTTATTTTGATAAGTGGATTTTCATCAAGTCAAAGCCACCTCAGTTCAATTTGAGTTGTTATAGTTGGAATATATGCGCCCAGTGACGATGCGGAGATGGAAGAAAAAGACGAGTTTTTCGACAAACTTAAATTTAAAACGTAGCAAAAAAATCTGCCTTTGAGTCAATTTCAATGCCAAAGTAGGCAAGGAAGAAAAAGGAAAACTCATTGGCCTAGACATGAAAATAATGAATAGATTTTATCATCACAAAAACATTCCTAAATTCACCTGGGAACAACCAAAGAAAAAATTACGATCAATTACTCCATTCAACCGCAAGATACAAGATTATAAACAAAAGACGTAAGCCGAATGTGGATCGGCCCATTATCTGCTGGTGGCAACAATAACAATAAATTATAGGAAAGAGCAAATAAGGAAATTTACAAAGCCGATAATAAAATATATAATTTAAAGAGACAAACATAAGAATCGGTTCAGTTATTATTATCCAAACTAAGGTTAGCTACGAAATTTGCAGAAACGAGGGGAAAAGAAACTGCTGAAGAAGAATATGAGCAAATCAAAAAATGTATTTACCAGACGGACCATAAAACTTTATCACTGAACTATAGAAACAAAGAAAACAAGGGGGAAAATTGAGTAGAAGAAAAGAACTTGTTATACATGGCTAAACACGAAAAACCCACAAGACCATGACTGTAAGTTGAACTAAGCAGAGAAACGAAAAAAGAAGTTGCCGGAAGAAAGAATGAAAGGTGGGAGAAGGTGTGAAAACGTAGAAAAATACTTAGGATTTTAAGACCAGAGTAACACAGACCTGGAAGTTTTTGAGAAGTCTCAGAACAGAAAAAAAGTATATAATGAATATCAGCTTACGTTCAACCGGGGTAATTGTAAACGGGGGAAATTTTAAACGCTACCTAAAAGGAGTTTAAATTTAGCGCCAAACTGCAACGCCGCGCCTCTTCGACAAAAAGATTTCCCCTACCACCAGTATTTAAGGAATCACGTTATTTTGACGAGTTTGTTTGGCTTCTCAAACCCCTGCAAAAATTTTCGTTTTTTTGTTTAACACAAATGTAAAAGTTATGTAAATGAATTACTATTAAGGAAAGTGGAACTTCGACAATTTTCCAGGATTATTAAGGCTTTGTTGTCTCCTTATTTACTGGTTTCAAAAGTTTAATTTTTATTACTAAAATAATTGAAGAGTGTTTATATTTTCCCCAAATATTTTGCAATATGGGGTAAAAGTAAACATCATTTTGGGGTAAATGTAAACACGCTTTTTATTTTTGTAAAATATTTCACATGCTTGGAAAATATGTGCGCAAGACAAATTGGACAGTATATACAAAAAAAGACCTCATTAATGTTCATACCCCAACAAAACTTACCGGCAAGCTCAAGAATATTATAATGTCTCTATTGAAGTAACTTCCAAAAAGGATTAATTGACGCAAAACTTCCATGGACTCCACTGGTCCAGTCCGCAAAATAGAACTCTCTGAAGATAAGATTGTGGAATGTTGGCTTGCTAGAGCAAAAGCAGGAGGACAAGGACAAGGAGGAGCTGTTAAATCTTATTCATGATTATTACAGTCTCACAATATAACACCTTTTGTTAATGGAAGACCTGGGAAAAATTGGTATTACTTGTTTTTGTGAAGACACAATGACATTTTGTTCCTAAAAAACCAGAGCATTTACAAAAATTTTGGGAAAAAGCTAGAAGACGGGACATAAATATTGTTCAAACCAAAAGTTTAGAGACCGCTACTATTGTTAAAAGAACACAATCACCTTCATAAGAGATAGTAATATCAAGATTGAAACAACTCAGTTGTGGAGAGGTGTTAACTACAGCAGAGGTGTTAAAAAAGCTAAAAGAAACGCAACAAAAATTACTGGAAAAGACCAAAAAACAAAAATCAACTACTGTACCATCAAAGAGAGTGGAAAGGCCAAAGAGAGTGAAGAAGCCTGGGAAAGAAAGATATGAAAAAGAAGAGGCAGAAAAAACAGAGAGTTCCTCAAGTGACGATGATTCAATTGAATCCTATGAACGTGATTCAGAAAGCCCCTGGGAAGAAGATTTCAACAAAAATGAAGAAGTAATCACTTTCAAGACCACTCAGTTATCAGATTTGAAAAATGGTGATTGTGTTCTTGTCAAATTCACTGGTGGTAAAAGAAATACGACTATGCACTTAAGTAGTAATCTCAAATATATTGACAAAAAATACCAAAATTTCGCCATCAATCAAAGTGACGTTAGTTTTGTTTTTCAAGAGCAAATATTGGGAGTTATACCTGTTCCCACAATTAAAATGAAAGGCGAGAGAATATTTGATCATTTTGAAAATGAAGGGCCTTGTATTCATTCGTAAAATACTCTTATTTTAATCCCGATTTTGTTATCTATTGTTCAACAGTGTTAATTTGTTTTCTTTTCCGAATGTATTACTATAAATTTTGTAATAAATTATACCTAGGTTTTCAAAGATAAACGTCAAATAAACTATTCAAGCATATATGCTATGTTCTCCAATAACGTTGTGGTAAATTTAAACACTGACCAAAATTAAAAAATATATATCTACTACCTTATAAGCTTAATACCCCTTAAATAATGCATTTTCTTGAACCTGCCCTGGATTTTTCTTTTTAATATTATTCTGCATTTTAGTATAGTTTACGGTCTAAATAATGCCCCAAAAATTATTTTGTAGTTAATATTAAAACAGTAGAGTCATAACTCACAGATGAAATTGAAAAAATATCAAACTTGCGAAAATTGTTTACTATTACCCCGGTTGACGCAAATTGAAAAGAATGAATAAGAAGAACACTACAAGTCACTATTAACAGAAGGTAGGATAGAATTTTTTGGAAGAACTGAACGATGGTATGATAGACGATGCAAAGCTACAAGCAATAAGTAGCGAAGAAATAAAGAAAGAACTGAAAGAAATGAATACTGGAAGAGCTTCAGCCCCTGGAGAACTTCCCATCCAGCTGATGAAACGTGAACCAGAGACCCTGTTGCAAGCAATGGTACGAATTTTCAATAAGTGCCTAATTTGATGTCAGAATATCCCACCCGATTGGAACTTCACACATATGAGCTCCATATATAAAAAGGGTGAAAATCATCTTACAATTATAAGAGCATAAGTGTAGCTGTTCTTTGGAAAGGTTGTATGTTCGTATCTTTAAAAGGAGCATAGAAGCGGAGTATTGAAGTCGGCTTTCGAGTTCTTATACAGACAATATTTTCAGTCCCCAACAAATACTAGAAAAACGAACAACTTGAAACCCGCCAATGCAGGCCAACAAAGAAAAAAATAGACATAGTTGAAATTAACTATTTGAGAAGGGCTTGTGTAATATCAAGGACTGAACGCAGGACAAATAATGAAACAAGACCGAAGACGGAAAGAATACATACATCAGAACAAACAGAAACAAGACAATTAATATGGTACGGACATGCGCAGCGCATAGGCGAATATAGATAGCCAAAACGAGCATTACAATTACAATATTGTTTAGTAAACAAACGGGAACGGAGCACACCGATAACCTCGTGGATTAGCGGTTTTTTGAAAAACATGGAAGATAGAGCTATAAGAGCGAATGCTTGGAAAAATAAAGAAGAGTGGCGATCCAAATGCGGAATGTGGCAAAAGCTATATACTCTGTGTTATATTAGCGTATATTGTTCCTAACAAATTTTAAGTTCTCGAGAATATACATCGAGGCAGAAGCGGTTGGTGCATATACGGTGCAGAGCTCACAAGTATTAACTTAAAGAATTAGTAAATGAAAATCTCCGTTGACTATTTTAATACAAGACCAAAAACCGAATTAAAAAATCTAAATTAAATAATAAAGTCTGAAACATTAGCTAAGTCCATTTATTTTTGGAAGATCTCCCCCTCTTGACCGAAAAACTTCGTTTAGTGGATTTTCTTGTAAATTCCATGGGCGGATTGTCCTTTTTCAATAACCAGCAGTAAATTGCTATCATTGCAACGTTTCATCGACCTTGATATCTGCGTTCCATTGCTTTTATATCTTGGTGGAACCTCTCACCTTTCTCCTCACTGACGGCACGAAGATTTTCGGAAAAGTAATCCAGATGCGAGTGTAAAAAGTGTAGTTTTATCCCTAAATTTCTCTAACAAGTTTTCTACAATGTTTTTCAAGTTCGGATATTTGTTTTTTCCTAGAAAACCTTTTATGAAACCTTTTCAGATCCGATCATGGCATTCACAAAGTCTTAATGTTCCATTAATTACCTTGTTTGAGGATCCTTCCTTGCTTTAGTTTTGCAGCTCGTAGTGCGGGAAATTTTTCACTCTAGTCCTCAAAATTATAGTCGCAATAAAAAAGTGAACCACTTTGTTCAAAATTCTGTCTCGCGCTTCCTGAAACATGAGATTTTAACGTGTTGTGCTAGTAAATTTTTATTTCGAATTGTAGATGATAAAATTTCGGAAACAACATAAGTCAATCACTAAGTCATTGTTGTTATTGTCATGAATGTTGAATAACTCTCCATATATCAACCAACATCACTAGGGGTATCACAATCTATTTCAGGCTCAGACAAACTGGTGGTATCTTCTAAATTAGCTGGATTTTCAGGTATTGGGACATCTGGGCCATGTGGCAGTGGCCTAATTGCAGTATTGAGGTTTGGATAAATAATGTTTTTCAAATTTTTAGTATTATATCCACGAACATTGCACATGAGACCATTGGGTCAGTTTTTTTTTTGAATCATCAAAGCCTGTGTAAATCAAATCCATTTTCCACCCTATAATGTTCTTGCTTAGAGCTTTCCAGTGAGACATGACTTTTGATGTAACTTAGCGTACTAATATCGGTTGAAGTTCACCTGTTAGATTTACTTAACTATAGTTTGTTATTATTATTTGTGAACTTTGAATTTTTATAGTCTTTCTTTCTTTTCTTTTTTAATTTGCTCTTTCCCCTGCTGTCACTGTAATATTTTTATTTGCTAAAGTGACCTACTCTGTAATTGGCATTAAGTGACTGTAAATAATTAAAAAAAAAATTAAAAATTAAAATAACCAAAACAAAACAAAACAACAAAACAAAACAAAAATCTTTTTCTTAACCCGATTTATTATAAAAATACATATATACAATAATTTCTGTTTATGATATCACTTCATCAGATAACAAAGGTTTTTCGAGGAAGTAAAATCTGAATTGGTAACAAATTTTTAAGGACCATATTTTTAATCGGTGAAATCATCCGTTGAAGAAAGAAAAAAAAGGCCTTTCCAACATACCTACCTACGCCACGTTGCTTTTTCTCTTAGTTTAGCTCCGCATTATTTTGGTTACTTTTTAACCTTGCTTTGATAAGTTTATCCTGTTTCATTTTAATTTCACTAAAATTTAAATTTTCCGTATCTCCCGAGCAAATAACGCACAATTCCCTCTTGGGGTCTTCTGATACTTCTCCGTTTGCGCTGCGATGGTTAGATGGTGATTCGCCCATTTTGCTACTGTTACAGAAATGAAGAAAGCTGTAGTTGTAATTATCAACTTTGGACGCACCTTTAACCACTTTCCAACTTATGTTGTTACCTTATATGTACGTCGTTTATATACAGAATCTAACCAATCCAAGAACTGGGTGGTCAATTAAGGACATTCGATCATATATCGAAAAGTGATTGCCGTAAAGACTTGGAATCAAAAAAACTAAACTAAGGGACTAAAAAAACTGCTGGAAAGGGGTGGTGTAATCGCATTCATGATTTTTTTTTTGAGAAATAATACAATATTGCAGGTAGCTAAAATGGACACCGTTGTAAAGCTGGGATAAATTCGATTCTTCTTCGATAAATAGCTTTTTCTCTATCTCTTAAGGCAAAGTGACGGTGGTGTTCGACCATTTCCAGAAAAAAATCTTTGGGAATATATAAGTTTAAAATTATTTTTTGAAATCTTTTAACTCATATATTGTAAATTAGTCAATAAACATATATTTATTTATTTATTTTCAGTATACCTAGCATCATTAAATCCAAATTTTAGGAAATAATGATGTATCATTTTCAAGCTCTCCTAAGTGGCTCTTCAATGGTCTAATTGAATATCTGGAACAACTTCAGTTTTTTTTTTATATCTTCCCGGCGGTTTCAAGGTGGTTGAGCAATACTTCATTTTCAAGCTCTCCTAAGTGGCTCTTCAATTATCTAATTGAATATCTGGGACAGCGTCAGGTTTTTTTGAGATTCCGTAGTAATTATAATAAATTCAAGGGCATTTTATTATGGGGGGTAGTTTTAAATATTTCTGACGGATTAAAGGTGATTGAACAATACATCCTTTTGAAACTCTTCTAAGTGGTTTTCAACCACCTTGAAACCGCCACGATAAAATAAAACTAATGAAATACCCAAAAATTCGTTATATTTAATTCGAAATCTCAAAAAAATTTGACGTTGTCCCAGATATTCATAGACCACTGAAGAGCCACTTAAGAGAGCTTCAAAATAATGTATTGCTCCACCACGTTGAAATCGTGGGGAAGATATAAAATTACCCTCCATAATAAAATGCACTAAAATTCATTATAATTACTTCGCAATTTAAAAAAAAATCTGACGTTATCACAAATATTCAATTAGACCATTGAAGAGGAGGAGATCTTCAAAAGGATGTATTGCTCAACCACCTTGAAACCGTCATGAATATATAAAACTACCCCCCAAAATGAAATGCCCTAAAATTCATTATAGTTACTTCGCAATCTCAAAAAAATCGAAAGTTATTATATTCAATTAGACCATGCCTAACCAAATATGTTGATTGTCTTCTGTGTCGCCACCGAACACCGTGCTTAGTCGAAATAGTTCTTGATTTGTGGGAGTGAGCAAATTATTAATTATAGGTATTTAATATTTGTATAGTGTATAGACCACAAGTAAAAATGAATGAATTGATTGAAAATAATCAACTCTCTTGTGATGATTTTGAGCAGAGTTATAGATCTAATGTTTACAGCAGAATATTAAACATTAAACATATTACATTTAATACATAAAACATATTAAGCATTAAAGACAGTCTAAATAATCGGAATCGTGTTTATATGCACTAGCTACATGTCATAAAGCATTGTATGCAAATTGTGCGATAAGAATATTCTTAAAGAAATCAAGACGACTCAAAGTAACTCAGAAATAAAAATACAACTTCTTATGTCTCTACCACATCGAGTTCGTAGCCTTGCAAGATGTTAATATGCACATGTGAAGTCCTTAGCCGTATATCAAAAGGCTTGTTCTGAGCCAAATTTTGATTTCGACATAAATGCAAATTCTTATTTAAATATTTGGTTTTTAGGGGAGCTGAAGACGGCTCTTTAACTTACTGTATGCCATATGCCCCTCTATGGACAAGTCTCCTCGACAAAATTATTTGTGAAATTTCTGATATCTAGGCGAATCGATTTTCGAATTCCACTGCGGAATGTTGGTTTAAAATCGTTAAAAAACAGGTTCTCCAATCAGAATTGCACGAAAAAGTTGGTCGTTTTGTCGCCAAAACGTGGGAAAAAATTACTACTGAAATCAAATCAATTCGCTATAATATTGGAACGAAACGAGTTGGATAAACCTCTTGAAAATGATATCTGACGACCAAAAAAAAAAAAAATCAATTTATTTTATGTTAAAAAAATTACTTTGCAAATATGTTGTTTACAAAAGCAACTAATTTGGAACTAATGCAAACTTCTCAGTATGTGAGAACTAAAGAAGGTTTTGACCCCAATCTTAACATGGATCCTCAAATCAATTTATGACACTTTTCTAAAAGAACCAGGAAGCGCAACAAGAACATGTTTAGTGACAATGTAATTAAGATAGAATTTAGATTCAATTTTCATTCTTCTAATTAACTGTGAGTCACTTCGACTTATTGTATTTTACCAAAAACCAAAGAAGACGAAGTTTTAATACGGATTTTTCAATAATTTTGTACTTTAGAAACCAGAGTAAATGAGTTTTGACATTCTAGTTTTTAATACATACTAAGCACCGATTCAAAACAATTATTTCACTCAAATTGCCAGAAAATAAATATAAAATAAAGGTAGGTACGGCCACATATAATTATCACCATTGATCGGTCTACTCTCCTTAATTTATATTTATTTAAACACAGCCGGTCAAACAGGCAGCATTTTACCACCACACTATTGCAGGACAGTATGAAGTTACAATTAGTTTACAGTGGAATACAAGAGCAAACATACGAGCCCAAAAGAAAGCAAAAACAAAAGGTAACTCTTTAGTCACTAGATCATTCTTTTCCCTTCTATAACATGCTCACACAGATCTACACGTACTTCTTAAGCAGTTCTTAAAACCGTTTAAACTTAACTGAAAAATATCAAAATTGCTATTATGTTGACAAACACACAGTGATAAACAAACGACAATGTTTCTCTTTTGATATAGGTAGTTGCATTAAAGCGCAGACAACAAATACAAAAGAGTGAGCCTATAAGGCTATTAACTAGCTATTTACAAAAAAATATCTTTAGCAAAAACTTTGCGACATTCGAGGCTTTTCAGTTTATAAAATAAAAAATTGTAATAATAACAAAAGTAATGTTCCGTAATAGTTTGTTGAACCTTGTTGAACCTATAATTGACTGCTTTGATAAATGGTTTATGAATATTATCAATTCTAACACGATATTTCGCGTATTAGGGATTCCACACCGAAGAATATTCAAGAACCGGGGCATTTCATTATTGAGGATAGTTTATATCTTCCCGACGGTTTCATTTTGAAGCTCTGCTAAGTGACTCTTCAATGATCTAATTGAATATCTGGAACGTCACATTTTTTTGAGATTACGAAATAATTATAATGAACTTTTGTGTATTTCATTATTGCCCAAGTGGCTCCTCAATGGTCTAATTGAATATCTGGGACGTCTAATTTTTTTGAGATTACGAAATAATTATATCGAATTTTAGGGCATTTCATTATTGGCGGTAGTTTTATATCTTCCCGACGGTTTCGAGGTGGTAGAGCAATTCATTATTTTGAAGCTATCTTAAGAAGGCTCTTCAATGGTCTGGCAGAATCTCTGGAACGCCAGACCTTTTCGAGATTGCAAAATCGCAATGAATTTTCTGTAGAGCAACATTGGATACGGTTTTTGGGAGATATTTCCGTGCTTACTTACCCAGCATATCCACAGGATTATGTTTTTTTAATTAAGGAATCCAAATCTAACTTCAGTCACATAATTCACAAAATGCGTTCAGCAATTTATCGACATTTATTTCCGAAAACTTTCCCTTAAGAGGTAGAGTAAAAACTGTTCCACGAAAAAGAATCGAAAAATCAAAAAAAGGCGATTACGCCCCCCGACTGCTGTTCTAGAAATTTAAAAATAATTTCCAGCATTTTCTCTTTGCTGATTTAGTCACAATTTTTTTTATCCCAATGTTTTGGAAAGTAACGAGATGGTGTCCAAAATAAGCAGTTTTTCCTTATCAATATTGATTTAAATAATTCAAACCCATTAAAAACTTCGTACTTATTGAAAACGTATTGGCCCAATAGAAACCCGTTTTTAAGACCAATCTTGTATCCACTATCAAACCCAACTTGAAAATTGCTGGCACGCCCATCGAACAGGCCCTCTTTTAAACCAACCTGCAATTAAAAAAAAAAACACTTTGCCGAATATGGACCACATTTTTTTGTTAATAAACGAACATTTTAAATGTTTCTATTCAACAAATCATGATAAAACCAAAAAGTCACCTACTGGTCACCCTACACAACAAAAAGTAAACACTTTTAGGTTATGTTACGTTGTAGGAATGAAAAATTTAAATTCATTAGAAATTAATGTTACGCCATTTGCGTTAATGAATTAGTGGATAACGTATCGTAACGACATGCATAAAGTTGACAGCGTTCAAAATTCAGAAAAATGTCCCCAGATGAATGCAATTTAACAGATATACTGATATTTATTAGAATTTTTAAGTACGGCCGTACGGGCCATTATACCATTAGAGTTGTGTCAATCGCGATTGATTCGGTCACTTTGATTCAATCACTTCATAGGATCGAACGACCGAATCCCGCTTGTTCGTAACGATTCGATCACCTTGTTCGCTCTCGCTGCCGCCTTGACCGGTCTGAAGTGACCGAATATAGGACGAACGATCGACCAACCGTACCAAAACAAATCGAATTCGCCTTGCGGAATACGATTCATTTGAATGGTTTAAGATTTAAATGCATAGCTGAGACAGGCCACGGAGGAACGGAGTTGCGACATCGAATGTCAATTGATAGATTTGCTTATGAGCTGAATTGAATATTGAATGAAATATCTATTTCCACACAGGTATTTAATTTAAACAAATTAATGTATTACTGGTACAACCCAATACGTAGCACCTATTTTGATAAAATCATGATTCAATAAAACGCAGAACACAGCTAAATATTATACTAACTAGAACAGAAAACATAACATATAGACACAACAACAATTAAAATTCAAATGAATCTGAATCGGCCGTTAGGACTGTTCGGATTCAGTGACTATTGCCGCTTATGTTGGCAACAAAAAGTATTGAAATGAACGATTGATTAAAAATGATTCGGTCCTAGGGATGTTCCGATACCATTAAAGTATCGATACCTACTCATTTCGATAGTACTCAAATCTTTTTTCGATACTACTCAAATAAATACTCCTAAGGTATCGATACTTACTCATATCGATACTTTTACCACTTTATTATTTTTTTAATTATTTTAATGAACGTTGAAGGACAATAATTAAAACAAAATTAAGAAGGAAAAGAAAACTTTTATTATAAAGGTTTGCGTCACGTTAAACACGTACTTCAAACAAAAAACTCCATGATAACATTGGAATAATAAGCTGATGATTACAATAAATAAAATTATTTGTAAGCAATCTCTTGTATGTTTGACAATTTATGTTGGTTGACAATGAAAAAAAATGAAAGGCGGACGTCTTTCTCGCTTTTGCCTCGGGTTCGGTCGAGTGAATTCGGATGCGTTCGGTTTTTTTTTTAATGGTGACGCTGATTCGATTTGATACCAAGTACTTTTGTTTCGATACCGAGTAAGTATGGCAAGATTGATTCGATGCTATAAATACTTGGTATCGAATCAAAAGTATCGAGTACCTACTCGTATTTACTAGTATCGGAATATCCCTATTCGATCCTATTCGAAATCGGTCACTGATTGACACAACACCATGAACGCCCATTTTCCGGAATTATGGGGGATATTATGACCTGAATAATGAATTGAGGTTACGACACATAGTCTACAATATCATCCGGATTATCGAAGTCGTATTAGATAGAGGAGTTAACAATCATCTTGGCCTAAACATTTTCCGAATATTTTTTAAGGTTTAAACTTACGTTCCTCATTTTACTTTCGAGCCCGTGCCACGTCTGTTGTATTACTTCAGAATCCATGTCAAAATTCTGAAACAAAATACAAACCATAAATAAATAATAATAATACGACTTTATCGTAAGTACATTACAAGAACAGATAACAAAAAGCATTGAAATTATACTCCCTCACTTAACGTACAATTACTGTTTATTAATTATTTGATATGATCTATAAAAAAAACAGCTTCGTGTACAGCATGTTTGAAAACTAACGCGAAAAGTTTAAGATTATTATCTTGCTTAAAATAAATTTTAGTTTGTTATATAAACGTTGGATCAGCAACTTTGGAGGCATAAAAATACACATTTTTAAACAATTACTAAAATTATTTTTTCTAAAATATTTTTTCTTTCTCGACAATGCAAGGCTTTATATTTTATTTCTTATTTGAAAACTATTAGTTCGGACTTTTATAAATAGTAATACTTTTCCGGCCTTTGTTTTTCCTAATTAAATACCTGCCTATAACTGTCATTTAACAAATTTGGAATGCCGGGAAGGAGCCAAAATTGTTTAGTCAAATAAATTTTATTAGAATACAAGTTTAATCATTAAAAACAAACTAAAAAGTGAATGAGATATCATTGCCTTTTAGGTTACTTTCTACCTTAATTTAAACAATCCATAAAGAAGGATATCCTCGTAGTGCATTCCAAGGAGATTTGTATGCCAGATATTTATTTGCTTCCTATTTCAATACAAATACAACATTTATAATTTTCTTAAGTTGTAGTAACTGGACATCGCGTGGAATTGATTTAACATACTTCTGATGTTCAAGTCAACTTCAACAATGGCTCATTATAAAAAAATGATCTATTTCCTAATTAGAAACACCAGGTCCCTAAAATTGAAAACACCCATCATTAATAACATACCTACTATAAAAAATTTCATTACAAATATAACGTCAACACAGAACAATAAAATCCCCGTTTTACCGGAACTTAAAATGGCTTTAAAAGAACTATCCCGCGCGTTTAAAATTTTAGGTTAGGTTCATTCTCCCGCCAAACGATAACACGAAAATTCAGCGTCCGTTGAAAGACAATAAAGTACCTACATATTTAATTGGCGTACCTACCTACCTACAGTATTCTTTCGCCGATTTGTGTCCAAAGTACAGCGAAACAGAAGCAGGATCCGTTTTCTAGGTAAGCTACTTAACTGTCGCGATTACCTCACGCCTTTTAATCCGCCTTTAATTTTCTAGATTCCTTTTAAAACTGTCTGCCCTGGCAGTTATACACCTTCCTTTACAGAGAAAGAAACTATTTTCGTTCGTTTGGGAGAGAACCTAAGCAATCGGCACTTGTCAAAATGTTGCGGTAAAGGCGGCGCCACACGGCACGGGCAATGACGCTAAGGTTGAATTCGCCGGTCGGAGGCGCGGCCGCCGTTTATAACTGGCCGTTGCCCAAAAAATCGGGCTATGACGGAACCACGGAGATACTGGATACCATTAAATGGGGATGTCGGGATATACCGGACCTAGAGATCCCCTTGAAACGAAACATTATGATCAACGTGGACGTAACCAGTTTCGAATCTATGCACGCGCTGTGTCAGAGGTACAACAAAGCGATCGATAGTATTCTTCGGCTGGAAAAGGGTACTCAAAAGTTCGTTGACCGGTTAAACCAGAGAATCAGCAGGCAATTGCTAAGGCACGTGCTGCAGCAGACTTATAACGCGGCGATTAGCGACGCTGAGGAGCTTAATAAATACCAAGCGTTTTCTCCGGACGTGTACGGGGAAACGTCGTTCGATTTGGTATGCCAGATGATCGATCAAGTTAAAATAACCAAAGACGACGTGTTCGTCGATCTCGGATCGGGTGTGGGGCAGGTCGTTTTGCAAGTGGCTGCCGCTACAATGTGCAAGATGTGCGTGGGTATAGAACGATCCGAAGTTCCCGCAACGTTTTCCAAGGCGATGCACGAACATTTCACTTTTTGGATGCGTTGGTACGGCAAATGTTGCGGCAAATACGAACTCATCAGGGGCGATTTCTTCGACGATACTTACCGACAACGTTTGTTCTACGACGCGACCGTCATATTCGTGAACAACTTCGCATTCGGACCTTCGGTCGATCATCGCCTTAAGGAACGCTTCGCGGAACTCAAACAAGGCACGAAAATAGTTTCATCGAAGAGTTTCTGCTCGTTAAACTTTCGCATCAGCGACAGGAACCTAAGCGATGTCGGCACCATCATGGATGTCACCGAGATATCGCCGTTGAAGAGTTCGGTGTCGTGGACTTGCAAACCGGTGACGTTTTACCTCCACGTCATTGACAGGACCAAATTGGAGAGGTACTTTCAGCAGAAAATGTTCAAGTCTGTCCCTGTCGCGTACGAAACGGGGCCCGTCGAAAGACCGAGGAAAAGGAAGAGACCTAAAAAGACGGGAAATTCGTTGAAAACGATGCTGGACCGTTTTAAATTGGAGTACACGCAGATGGTCGAGCAAATGTCCGACCCAAAGTACAGAGAAGTCGTGAGAGATCAAATACGCAAAGAGATAGCGCGCAACGCGCACTTAAAGCAGCGGGTCGGCGAAATTGACCAAGAAATAGAGCAAATTATACTTATAATGCGTTCCAAGATATCGTAGTTTCGACATCTGGAGCCAGCTACTGTTCCTATATTATTACATTTTTTAAATATACACAAAAAAAATACAAACCTCACCTTAATACTTGTTTGTGGCGCACAAAAGTCCAGACAATATAAATAATCTCTTGATCCAAATCGTAAATAACCATACGGGAAAAACTCATTCAAACTAACCAACTGGTAGGTTGGAAAGCGGCAGTTTATTGAAAAATTTTATGCGCATATAGTATGAGCTTTTCTTCGTAATAATCAATTGTCTGACTTTTGAAAACCTCTAGGGGTCTAGGTAATTATCAATACGATAAGTCCATGACAAAAATTCATCAATTGATAATCCTAGAGAAATCTCGTTTCGTTAGACACCTGAATGTTTTTTTAGAACGTGCTATAGGTATTGTGGTTTGTTTTTGTTTTATTCTAAAGGTATCTTATATAATATGAGCCTATTTTGATTGAACATTGTCTCAAAGTCTTATATTCGCTTTTAAAAATAAACTGTTCCTAATTTACCAGTAACCGAAGTTCGATAAAGTTCACTCTCTCACTACCATTTTAACAGTTTAATTCGTCAAAACAACAAATGAGCGAGGTCCCAGTAATAATTTTTGTAGTTCAAAAATGTTGTATTGAACTTGGATCGTTTTTCATACACAGCTATTTTTATTATTTAAAAAAATATATTTGTTTTGCCAGTAATAAGTAATAAATCCGAAGTCTTACAAGAATGTTAAATGCACTTACCTCGAAGGTTCTCATCGATACTTTGTTGGATTGATGGATTAAGTTTCGTGCAGAAAAAATAATGTTGCTTGTCAAATGCAATGATATTTAATGCAAAAAGCGCTAATCATATTTCTGTGGAATAATTCTGACAGTGTTATAGGCCACCTATGTTTTTTTTTAATTTCGACCTCAATTATAGCCGTACCAGTGCGTGGCGTCAGCGAATACCTAGAATGTATTCTTGAGGTACATATTGAGGTACCGGCTCGGAACTTTTGGAAACCGCTGGATTCCGATTTAAACGCCCATTCCGTTTAGTCATGCGCCCGATTTGATCACCTGCCGGACATTGACGTTCGCGAATGCGCATCAAACTATCCTCGGAATGTTTAAGGCTGCGGCCACACGTCAACGTTATGATAATCGTAACGCGGCGACGGGTTTCATTTGTCGCTCTAATTTTTAATATTTAAGGGGAGTTTTCTCGAACCTCGAACAAGGCATGTCGCATGCAAGATATGTCAGTGTGACACAGAAACAGCGGTCAGTGGTCAAGATGGTATCAACAGAAACCTCTCGCATGCAACAGGCGTTGTTTGACATTCGAGAAATCGCCTCCAGGAGGCTAAAAATTTGGTGCTAGCGTAATCTCGAACTTTTTCCAACAGGAGCTGTTCGATTTCGCCGAGCTTTGTTCCCGTTCGAAGCAACACGGTCGATGTGGCCCCGGCTTTAATCACCTTGAGCAAATTGATTTTGACAGTTGCCTTTTTAATAGACGTGAGCGTTGGAAGCCGACAAATTTTCCTTGGAAAAAGCAAATTTTCGAAAAGTCAGTGGTTGCCACATAATTTTGTAGTTGAGAGCGGCGAGCATTGCGGAACTTGCGTCGATTTGCCGAGCGTTACGGATATGTAAAGTGTTGACAATACGTTTCTGGTTTTCCCTCCAAATATTTTTTCCATCAGAACTTAATATGCCTTTGCTGAGGAAGCAAGTGTTTGAAAGGCAAGCTTTGCCTGAGTATCTTAGAGATGACGAAGAGGTGTTTTATTGCGAAATTACCAATGAAATATTTAGAGATTATCAGTGAGTAGATTTTTAAAAATGTTACATTTTTGCTGCTTTAGCGGCACGTAAAAGTTTAGGGGAATCAATTACGTCATGGCATAGTAACGAAAAGCTCGCAGCACTATTTTTGTTTTATATTTGGTTATGTAGTTATATTTATCATCAATTTTCAGGGATTTTTCTGAAAGGATGTTCCTTTGCAACTCAATGGTGTGGACATGTTCCTTGACCGGGAAATCACATTTGACCTACCAGGAAGCCATGGAAAGTGAAGAACACGCCAAACAGAGCCTTAAAGAGTTTCCAAATGAGCTTAAGTTGCCTATACTTTATTTGGCTTCTCTCACGAAGAGGACTAGTTTTGGTGATATGGCAGAAGACGTGTATTTGTACGCAAAGGACAGACATTTTGTAGGAGAAAATGTTGAAACCACCTTTGGGTCGAATAAATGGAAAGATTGTCAAATTCTTTCTGTCGTATGTCCAAAAGGAGTTGAAGTTAAACCAGACTTCAAAAATGGGTAAACTAAGTGAATTAGTTTTATAAAAAATTCTACAACATAATTGCATGATTATTTGAATAATATGACTAGACAGGAGAATGGAGTTGCTGATGTTAAAAATGAGCATGGAGTATAAGTTTTCTTTTGGGTTAATTATTTTTTAATGTTGTATCAAGTGGATACAACTTTTACTGATTCTTGAAAATGATGTTATTACTGTAATATCAAAGTTAAAAAAATAAGAAATCTTTAGGCCACTATGACTTTTCCTCCCTATTTATTAATTATTATTATTGTTATTATTATTATTATTATTATTATTATTATTGTAAAGATTATCTGGCAAAGCCACTTACTACATTTTTAAATATAATTGTAGTGTCTAAAAACTGACCTAACAAATTATCGCCCTGTAGCTGCTTTGTGTAACACGGCAATTATTTTCTTGATGCTAGATTAAGCGTCCACACAAAGCACAGGTTGGTGTACTTAATTCCCAAATAAAAAGGGTTTAGGATTCTTATCATCAAAAGCAAACCTAGACCTAGTTACCAGTTGAAATCCCCAGTCATGACAATGGTTACATGTTTTTTTTTTTAAGAGAGATGTTTAATTAATGAAGAATGATTATAACAATTTTTATTGTAGGCCTATCCTACACTTTTATTATAATATATTATAATATGACATAGTAAGAAAAAGAGAATCACAAAAAAATTATCACACAAAGAAAAAAAAAGAAAAATTAAGCAAATGCAGACTCAGACATAAAGACATAAAAGTTAGTTTTTTTTTATAGGAATCTTGTTTCCTTTTCTTGTTCTTTCTTTAATAAATATTTTTTAACAAAATATTAATTCATTTTAAGCTACTTTCCCTCATGTTTATTGGCAAGTTATTGCAGACCTTCAAAAAATATAGATATTTCTCTTTTTAAAGTAGACAGAAGGCAAGTCAATGTTTTTGTGTTAACAAATAATTTGAATAATAACTCCACGTATATAGACATATTTCATTTCTATATATCAGCCCCCTGTTCATTGTCAAAAGGGTCACATATACATATTTTTTATTGTTTTGTAGCACTTAAATTGCCATTTATTTGCGGTAGGATATCAGGCAGCTGTGAGGTATTGTAAATGACTATGCATATGTGAAAAATATGTAGTTCTCATTAGATTTCTTGAAATTATATAGTTGATCCTTTTCATCATACCCACAGCTATATTTTCTACAAATATAATTTACATGTGTTTCAAAAGTAATTTTATTATCAATTAGGAGAGAGAGGTACTTATAATTAATACCAAAGTAAAATAGACATATTTATAATCCAAAAGAATGTTACCATTTTAATTGAATTATTTTAATTTAACAATTTTCAATATCTATTTCTGATGGAGTAACTTTTTAAGCACATTGCATGCGATAGTTGTTAGATTTAAAGTTAATGTTAAGGTAGTTACAACTTCTTAGTGGATCTTGGGTCGGTTAGTTAAACAAATAAGTGAATTCTCTGAGTAAGCAAAAAATGCTTGGTACAGTTTTACACTTGGTGCTTTGCACGTTGGTCCCATAGTCCTACAATATATATTTTTTATTTTTTAGCTGCTCTTTATTCTCATAGCGTTTTTAGTTCCAGCCCAGAACGCCATTTTGTACCCTCAGCTTCGTCATACAAATACGAAATCGAACATCTAGATTCAGAAGACAAAGACATAAGTGAAATTATGATAGTAAACAGCGGCGAATTAAGAAGAAAAAAACAATATTTCACCAGGGAGAAATGCAAGCTATTTTTGAAGCAGTGCATCCAACAAGATGAACAGGGTATATTTACGTTAAAGCAAGATATCCTCGAACAATTCTCCCTAAAAAGTGTTAGGTGGGAGCATGTGTTTGATGGTCCGTTGCCCAACTTTCAGACTTCGAAGAAATTGGAGAAAACAACCAACGGCTTAAAAAAAAAACAAAAGCAGGAGACCCTGACAAAGTATCTGAAGAGGAACGGTCTGACGATGAAGGGGGACGGCGAGAAAGACAATAACGTGAAAAGGGGTAATTTGCTGGAGCAGATGAAAAAAAGGGAGGAGGAGTTCAAAATCAAGAAGCAAATGAACGACGAACAAAAGGCGGCGATAAGGGAGGAGAAGAAATACCAATCGAACGTGTTGGAGCAGCAAGTCAAAATGTGGATGGCCCGCAAGGAAGATCTGGAGTTGGAAGATCAAGTCGTAAGTTTTTGATCCGCTGGTTTAATATTAATGCTTTGTTTGGTTACGCATTTTAAATAAATTTTGGTTATATATCAATAGTATCACAAGTAGTCGTCTAACTTTCAGCAGACCGACCTATTTGAATTTTGCATGGTTTAGGAAGTATTTAAAGTTATGTGACTTGTTATTCAAAAATTAGCTTATTAAGAAAAACCAGGAAAATGGAAAATGCGGTAACTAATAATATTTTCAAAAAATATATACCAACAAGATTTATGGTACTCCCTGTATATAAATAATAAAAATTGACATATATATATAACATCTTTGATACGTATATAGAGTGATTGTGGAAATATTTGACTTTCTCATTTTTTTGCGCATTCTATTTGAAAAATAATATAACACACTGAGTATTGAATTCCTGAAAAAAACTAAATTGAAAAAAGACAAAACCACTAGAACAATATCGTAAACAAATACTTTCATTATTTATTTATTTAGGAGGCTTATATTTTACATCAATTTCTGGTTCAGGTTGATCTTCAATTATAAAAATTATAAAAGCCAGTGTCACAACCAGGAGCAGATCATGTTATTTTGCTGCAAAAGTGAATACATTTTTTCAAATTAAAATATTCTGTATGATATTTTAAAAGTTGGAATTTTTCAATTTGTTTTTTATATGTCTCCATTTTCGGGAATGCATTCATTCATGCTTAGGATTGCGGCTCGTGCAGCACCAATTTGATTAAGATTAGTTAGTTGCTCTCGAATTTTCTCTTTGGGTTCTGTCACTTTTTTAAGTTTCACTGAATTTTCAAATTTAATTCATTTTTCATAAAAAATATTTTATTTTTATTATTTTTTATTTTAGAAATTGCCGGTGGGAGCGCCGGTCAACATGAAAATTCCTGACTTGTATTTCGGCGACGTCCTTTCCATAATGGAATTCCTTCATACGTTCTCTTCGTTTCTCTCTGTCGAAGATTTTTTTCCCCAAGGCTTCACGTTGGACGTCATGGAGCGGGCTTTGTGTAAAGTGGAGATAGCTGGGCCGTTCGCAGACGCGGTTCTCATGTTGCTGACTGCCATTTTCAATTTGCAAGAAGTGGAAAACAGTAATTATAGCACGCCGGTCGAAAATATCAAAGGTAGAATCTTGCGTCCTGATGAATTGACAAAAAGAATACTGATTATCAACTACTACAAGCATATTATACACGGTGTTTCGTTTCCTTCTTACAGGGTATCAAAGATTATAGAAAAAATGGGTACTTTATTAATTACTCAAAAACCTTTTAGCTGATTTTGGCAAAACTTGGCACCTTTGATAGTTGTCATAAGAACTTTTATCAAAATAGAATTATTGATTCTATTGGCAATCTAATTGACATTTATAGCTGAAATACAAAATATTTTTGTATATTGAGCAATGGAAATTTAAAGTTTTTTGTTCCTTCCGTGTTTTTTTTTGTATCTAGCTTAGCTTAATGTTGGAGATAAAAATTTCTACTGCAATCAATTTTTGCTTAATTACTTAAAAGCTTGAAAAATTATTTGTATAAAGCTGGGCACACTTATCTCTGACCATAAGGGACTATTGTGATTCTTATTTTTTGAATGTTGTATTTATATTAAGTTTTTATCTCCTTTTGAGATATTCACTTCAAAGTTTGTAAAAAACCTTTTTATAAAAGAAAAAAACCTACTTATTAATAAAAATGATGAACTCAATAAAGTATAATTTTTTGAATTTTTCTCAGATACTATTTAAGCATTGAAAAAACAAGCATACCATACTATATCATTTTGTTCTTACTCTTACGTTTTAATGTTAAAAGTTGTTGCCAAATCATTTTATGTTTAGTATGAGGTGCGCCAAAAAAACAAGACTTTTGATTTTCCTATATTTTCTCAGAAACAATTAAGTTCATTTTTGTTATACTCTGTCATATAATCTATTAATTCTGCCGAAAAGCCGAAAGCTAAAAAATGGTAAAGACAAATATTGCAGACAAAGTTACTGCTCTCTAAGAAACTAGACATAGAACTTATATACATTGTACATTTAAAAAATTATCTAGTAAAGTGTGTCTCAGTGTTCTCATGTCTTGGCTTTTGACGGACTGTTGTTACTGTGTAAACTCAGCAACAATTTATTCGTAGGTAAGAGAGAATACATGGGCCAGTCATGTAAATGTCATCCGCGTGTCGGTTGATACCAGTAATAACTCGATTTAATGTATATTTCGCAAAAACTACTTGCGAGTGTATCACTAAATTTGTAAAAAATCTGTATACATGTTTAATAAATATAGGATTTATTAAACAAGAATCTTTAAAGAAACCTGCCTACTACAAAAAACGCCAACATCCTCAATAAAAGATATTGTAGAATTATTTAATGAAACAACCCTACTGATTTTCATTCTGGCAGGTATTTTAGTGTTTTTTTTATAGTTTTATAGATATAGTTTTTTTTAACAATATCATGGATATGAGTATCCCACTTAAATTCTTCTACAATGATAATTCTTAAATCTTTCTGTTCTTTCCCAGCACAAACCTCTGTATTGTATAGGTGAGCTGAGGATTATTTCCTCCAATGCAGAAGCAAAGAATTATTAAATAAAGGTTTCTGCATTCCCATTGTAGCCATATTATTTTTGCAATTTTTAACACTTGGTAAACATGCAAATCCTTTCACATGCTTCAAAAAGTCTGGGATGTAGATACGCATTTTACGGAATATAATGTTTAAGCGGTGGAATCTTTCATGCCGAGATCCATTTCCACAACATTCTTTATTGACACTATGTACACACTATGTATGTAGTATGTACATACTAAATTGTGCCACTTTTGTAAAAAGTCTCTTACATCAAATAGTCATTTTGTTTTGAGTGTAAAAATTTATACTTTTGTTGTTATTTATCGTAACATTATGTAACATAATTGAATTAAAAATATAATTAATATATCTGTTGAGTGCTGGAAAAATGCACTACAGCACATTTTATCAATTGAAGATTCTTTCCATTTGCATACAAAATAAACACAGAGATCAATTAATCTTAAAGGTGAGTGAAACAGTATTAGAATTTGAATAGAAACCTACTTACTTAGATTATTATTGATATATTTTAAGTATATATTCAGCGTCACCATATTTTCTGTTAGTATTAATGTGATTTTAGACGACGTACATAAACAATAAAATATTTAATCTTTATATTTTTCACACATCTTAAAAGTTTTTTATTGCCATCGACAGGTTATTTTGGTAATTTTCGTCAAAAGCCAAGATGATATATTTTGGAAAAAGTATACTAATATTTCATTAAATTCGGTAAAGTCCATTTTTCCTCGTATTTCGTACTGGGTTTATTTCACTTTATTTTCAGACGAAGAAAACTTACCCGTGAGTCCAAAAGATTTGCGAGAAGCTGCGCTTGTCGCGACCCTGGCTGCGAAAAACCAAAAGAAATGCTACGGGGTTTCTTCAAATAAACTGCCCGTTCACAATCTGACGTTGTCAGAGGTGCTCCGCTTACACCTTTTAACTTCCGGCGCCCGGTTACACTACTCGGGCACCAGGTGGCGGTCCGCTTTGCGAGGCGGTTATGCGAGCGAAGACGACCCCGCCCTTCACCTAATGATAAACGAAGGCCATATTTTAAAAAATTTAGCTGTTCGAAACGTGGTGCAATTTCCCATCGGCGACAAGGTGAAAATCCTTTCATGTCTGACGAATCAACTGCTGACGTACACTGATCTGAGAGAAACACTCGACGAGAAGATCGAGAAAGCCAAAAAAAGCAAGTTCCTGCTGAAAACGAAAAAAGCACTGGAATCGAAAAGGGTCCATAAATACATCACTGATAAGAAGGACCTGAGGAACCAACTGAAGGGCGATAAGGTGGCGTTGGACGAGGCCCTGCTGAAGTTGCAAGAGGACAACGAGATCAAGCAGGCGAAGGCGGCTAACAAAATAAGACAGTTGCTGATCGCGTCCAGCGATTGGCGCCCTCTATTGGGGTATGTGAAAATGCGCACAACATTTATTTTTGATTTTTGCCTCAGTTTGATGTTGATGTCGAAGAACTTCTTTTTTTAGTGACTATCCTCTATGGATATTGGCAATCTTGTTGTCAGCCGCCTTGAATAAATGTACAGTCGTCATTCCCTGTCTGATATTTTTCAGCCACGATGTTCGTCGTCACCCCTGACCTCTTCGGCCATCTATTTTGCGGTACGCCATTTTCCTCACTTTCACGTTGACTTCAAATTGCTTTTGCATTCTCTAAATCACGGTTTTGTTTGTGACATGGTAGGAGTATACTATCATGAGCATGCGCCGATAGTACCACATTTCAAAGGCGTCCAAGCGCATAGATGTATCGTCTGTCGACGTCCAGGCTTCCATGCCGTATAGAAGAGTGGAGAATACATAACATCTTAGGACCCGTGTTGTTATAGTAATACTCAGGTGCAGGTTACATAGGACTTTTCTGAGGGGGTTAAAAATGGTTGTGCCTTTTTCTATACGGCATTTGATCTCCCGTGTATGATTCCATTCCTTGTTCAGGCTGCAGCCCAAGTACGTTATTTTATCTGTTGTTTTCAATATTTCATTATTGGCCCTAAACTGGTGGTATTATGCCTCATCGTTTTTACTAACTACAAGAATTTTGGTCTTGCTACAGTTGAGCCTCATACCATACATATCACACTCCTCCACTACACGGTCTATGAAACTCTACAATCCCTTAGCACTATCTGCTATAAGAACTGTATCGAAGTTCTACTTAAATTTATTATTTTGTTGCACCTACGTTTTAAGAAACTAATATGGTATGAATTATAATGATGCCAGACTTTATACTACCTTATTAACTAACTTAAGTAACTAAACTAAAATAATCCAACAAAAATAAAACAAACTATGATACAAAACAGCTCGCATGCATAATGTCAATTATTGTTTCCACAAAAAATGTGCGATGCAAAATACTTGAAAACCTGTAGCATTGTAGACCTAGCTTCTGAATTCAGAGCCCTAGAGCAGCGTGGCAAACTACTCGGTAATATGTCCGACCCCAATGATCCCACCAAAGCTTTTGTTACATTGGTGTAGCAGAATCAAATTATATTGATTGTTCATCTTTCCTGATGTAAAACTGTTCAAATGGTGTAATGAAGCGACTCTTAAATTTCCCTCCTTGTATTTAGTCCTCATGATTCATGATTGGGTTGTCCCTTCCATAAAATGAATACACCATTCTCTTCAACATTTCCTGATACTTGACAATTGTTACCATACATCCATAGATGTATTTTTCTATTAACTTAAATATATATTTATTGACCTACAACCGCCTCTTCTTAAAGTGGGTTTTTGCTTAGTCGAAAATTGCTGACGTTTCGCCAATCATCCTGTTGGCTTCTTCAGAGCTTGACTGAAACTGAAGAACTGAAAAAGCTAACAGGATGATTGGCGAAACGTCAGCAATTTCGACTAAGCAAAACCGACGCAGGAGGAATCCATAACTTTTGTAAAAAGCATTACAGTAGCCTGTGGGAGTTTCTTTGAAAAATTAATTCTTCTCTATTTCGTGCTTTATTTTGCACTTGTGTTCTCTAGCCAAGACCATTGTCGATCTTACCTTCCATTATATGTTGAAGGAAATTGTTTTTATTATGTCTCATAAGAGGACCAAGATACGCTGTTTTGCTTTTCTTTATTTTATCGAGAAGCTCACATTCCTTGTTCACTAGAACTTCCAAATTTGAAACATAGTCAGTCCATGGTATCCTTAACATTCTCAAACTCAAACTTTTCCAGCTTATTCATTGTGCTTACCTTTAATGCTTATGACTCAACACCGTAAAAAAGTTAAGTTAAGTAAAATTATGTCTTGTGTGACTGCTTAGACTGTTGTTGCAGAGGTTCTGCATCATAAGGAAATTTGTTCTTGCAACTTTGAGATTCTTGCCCTTGGTGTTTCATCTGCAGTTATGTTCGTGCGTTTTTTTGGATTACGATTTATTTCCATAACCTTTGCCTTTTTTGTATTTATCTTAATGCCCATCCAGTCGCTTACGGTGGATATCGTATCTAACAGCCTTTGTAGGCCTTGACAGCTGCCAGCAATCATTACATTTACCTTTATGCCGTCCTTTGCTCCCTCGAGTGCACTTTGAAATATCAACTCTGTGTACGTATTAAAAAGCATAGGACTCAGCAAACACTCTTCTCTAACTCCAGGTTTTATGGGTATCATTGTTATTTCTTCTAGTCTTACTGACGCCACTTGACGCCACAGCTTTTGAAAAAATTTAAAATTACGTCTCTATTACTACTACTACTACTAAGAATGCTCAGTAATTTCTTTTGTTTGACTCAGTCAAAGGCTTTTGTGTAATCTATGAAACACATATACACTTCCTTCCTCTGGTCTCTACACTTCTGCGGAAGTACGTAGAGTGCAAACAAGGCTTCTCTAGTCCCTAGTCCATCACAAAATCCCATTTGTTGTTCACTTATGTCTTGTTCACATTTTTGTCAAATTCGGTTCTCAGAACAATTTCAAAGTTTGACTCATTAGACTAATTAAACGAAACTCGTCGCATCTTCTAGCTCCAGATTTTTTTGGAATGGGTATCAAGATATTGTCTGGCCCGGCTGCTTTTTTACGTTTAATGTACTTGTTTGTGTTACATATACATTAATATGTATTATAATATATATTTCGCGAAATTGATGAATTTGAGTTAAATATTTTTGTCTCCATACCATCAATCGTTGGGTCTCTTTAATGCAACTATGATTGTGAATATTTTTAAATCTCAATCCGATTTTGTGCAAAAATCGGAGCAATTGTTCACGACCAGTAAATTGACCATTTTCTTTTAGTTTCTGTTGTAATGATTCAAGTGACGAAATCTGGTTACATCGCATGAACTTCCCTTTAAATCCACCCTGCGTCACTTTCTTTTCTAGTCATCCAGAAATCGATGCAAGCTTGACCTTGGAATGCCAGTAACTCGATAAACAATTTTCGCATTAAATATACATTATTAGGGATTTTATTTATTTCATATGTTAAAGTTTCATAATTGTTATAGTAAACATTGACTATTGTCTTTCAAAACAGTTTTTTAAAAATTTAAATACGTATAAACAGTATGTGCAATTGTCCGATAATAAAGATAAAAATATAAGTGTTTAATGAATTTGACCTTCTTATACTCATACAACGATTCTCTTGCAGCACATATTGAAATTCTTTTTGGTTCGTTACCCTCCTCCATTTTAACATTTCTAAGGTGTCGTTTCGCTACAACCTCGAAATCCATACACGTTTTCTTTTGCAGAAGAGATCGGGCGTATCGTCAGTATCTCAGAATAGAATCGGTTCCCGGACTATTTATTAATTGGGAAGACGAGCTTGCGGGTCACTGTCTCGACAAAGTTACCGTCCAGTATCCGGAGCTAGTGAACGCGAACAGATCTCAAATTAGGAGTCACATTAAAAAAACGCACGGTTTAAATGGCGACAAAGAAAATACGCCTTCTCCAAAAAAAATCAACGGCGCTAGAAGCGTGCTAGAAGACAACCAGGCAAGCTTGCTGATGTGCACGGCGAACGTTTCGACCTGCCCTGTACATAACGTCGGTTCGAAACGCGTGAAGTGGTCGTTTTTACACGATAAAGAGCAACTGTTCGATCTTATCAAGTCCTTAAACAAGAGAGGCATCAGAGAGAGTAATCTCAAAGAGTACGTTTGCGGGTACGAGAGTAATTTGGTGAATTTAATTGAAAAAACGCCGGTGGCCATTTTGAATCCCGAACTCGATATCGAGCGGGGGAAAAAGGAAACTGACGAAGGAATTGAGGTGAACGGACATTGCGATCCGGAATCGCGACCCGAAGATGCGTTTGAAGAATTGCTTTTGGAACATATATTAGATATGGAACTGAAAATTAATCAATGCAAATTATCCGGAACCGTAGGTATATTAGGCAGAGAGCAGTGGAGGAATTGTCTAAAGGACAGAGACTATGATAGGTTCGAGGTATTGTGGCAAGAAGAGGTTATGAAATCCCGCTTGGATTTTTCCATAATGAATAAAGATAAACAGGAGAACGATTCGAGTGAGAAGCATTTAAAATTGGAGGAAAATGAATCCCTAGTTAAAACCGAGAGCTTGGAATATCTGTCAGACGTCTCGGCGTCTAAAGTCAAGAAAGTAATACGTTCCCTTGCCTGCGCCCTACTGAGGTTGGCTTACTGCATTCCCGCTAAATACTTGAAGCAACCATTGGGTAAGGAAAAACCTTGTGTTATCCTAACTATTCGATAATTTTCGAGGTAAATTATATTTAAAAAATAAACTAAAAAATCATTCGTAGTTACTGGTGCTATATGGCAAAACAAAACTGTTATGGACATTTTTTTGTCAATACACGTTTCAATTTTTTTATGACCATAGAAAAATTTTTTGTTGATAACTGTTTTATTATGATAATAAAAAAAGTAAAAACTGCCAATACACGGTTTAATTCTTTTTTTTATTATGATAATAGAAAAAAATTATTGAATACTTTTGTATTATGACAATAAAGGAAATTGTTATTGACATTTTTTTCATTGTGACACAAAAAGTATTTTTATTGTCAATAAAAAACCGACAATTTACATTGCAAAACATATTATATGGAGTTTTTTTTTTTTTTTTCTAATATTTAATTGCCACTTAATGGGGACAATGTAATAAAATACTTAACTATCCTCCAATTTCTCCCTATTTTATTGAATTTTAACTCCTGAGTATAATAAGTATATAATGTATACACACGCCCCACTTATCGGACGTCAGGCAATATCTGATTTTAGAATAACACCAAAAATGATTGTTTTTTCTTTTAATCGTTTACAATTACGACTTCTATAATTTTTTCTTGTAAATTAAATAAGGCAAACCATTATTTAAAAAACAATAATAAAAGTTTGTCTAATCTATCGAATGTTTCAGCAAGTGTGCGTGTAATATAAAAATGTTTAAAAAAGCATGTATTAACAATATATAGATAAATAAATTTTAAAAAACAGTTCAAGGACAAAATTCAAACTAGTTTTAACAAAAATGGTATAATATATACAAAAGTAATAGAGAATGTACTAAATGTAATTTTTAATACCTACTACTACAGTACTACCCCTTACAAAAAAAACAACACGCTGATCCTTACCTTTGAACAATTTACTTACTGACATATTTATATTGTCGTATATTTATTTATCATGTAAATCACAATAAGTAGTTCATAAAACTAGTCACAATCTAAAGACGTATTTTAAAAGTTAAGAATAAAAATGGTGAAATAATAACAATACCATTACAAAGGAAGCTAAAAACTGTAGAGTAGCAATACACTCGAATAATTTCTGGTTAACAACCCCAAAACTCGTATACGGGATAAAATGCATTCTAGCTTTTTTTTTTCATGTTGTCTGTTAAATTCACGTTGACCTACTATAATGTCAACATTATTCTTTATTTTCTTAGAACACTTGATACCAACATAGCCGCCCGAATGTCATTTGAATGAATATCCAAATTGTCTTAGGAATTTTAATTAATAATTAATTAATTAAGTTTGAAATACACACAAGAGATCTACGTGCTTACTGAAGGGTCGATTATACAAGCCTAAACCACACAAGTTGAAGAATACCCCCACAAAATTTTCTTTTAATTTTCTTATTAAAAAAAAAGCAAAGAACAATTTTTTTCACCTACGCTTATAATCAAAGTAAGAGACTAAATTACCTCTGTTCTCTTTATTTTGTTAAACTGTCATCATTACAAATAATAATTGAAATTTTTTTGATAGATGAGAGATAAGTGGCAATACAGAATTCTATTGACAAAGAAGACTATGATCTCTGAGGAACTTTTCAATCCAGAGAAAGAGCTTTTCTAACAGTTGTTTCTAATTTTCTTTTGAAAATGTAAATTTTGATTGTGGATTTCTTAAATCCTGTCATGCCTATAAAACAACCATATTTTACGTTGTTAATTTTTGCGCTAAAATTCACTAACGCTACAAATCGAACAGGCAACGCTGATCATAAGAACAACAAAGCCACCGACGTGCACAACAGTTTGGCCAATTGGGAGGAATCGGTGCGAATCGCTACGAGTTTTAGTCAAATGTTCCTACTGTACGATACTCTTGATTCTTGCATAGTGTGGCCGAAATTGTATACGCAGCGACGGTGTCAAATTTGTCGAAGAGAAAACGCCTCCGATTCCATTTTGAAATGCGACGGCTGCAATCTTGTACAACATATGGCCTGTCTCAAATCGTCCAAAATGTCCATACGTGTAAGTAAATTAAACAATATATTGATTCCTATTTGGCAATTGGTTAGGGTTGAAGGTCGAAAGTGATGAAATTAAATCATATAAGTATTCTTATAAGGTTGTAATGCTCAACCACCCTTGTAAATCTAGGCCTGAATTCTAATTTATTTTCTGCGTTCTAATACTCTTTCAACTATTTTTCTCCACTCCATTTTATTTATTGCTTTCTCTTTCCGGTTAATAAGGTTTACAGTTTATAGTACCATTTTCCTCTTTTCTAAATGTTCCTCTTGTCCTGACCATTTTAGTCTTGGCGCTCTCTATATGTGTCTGAATTGCTTGTTAGTTCTCCTTCTCCATCCTTCTTTTGTCCTGACTCCACAAATTTGACTCTTAGTGTACTTGTTTCGCAAGCACAGGTTGCCATCATCAGCTTATCATATTTTCTATTACCCTCCAGTAATTCTATTTTGGATTTCTTCCTTTTCTCAGACTCTTTCACGTATTTTTACTCCTAAGTAAATTCTTTAACCCTATCAAAGGCGCATTGCTAATTGTTTTGCTTCGTCCTTTGTTTGCCCCATTAGCATCCACTTAGTTTTATTTTAATTAATTATTACACCTTCCGTTTCTATCCTTTTCGTGACTCTAGGTAACTCCGTTCTTGTTCTTGCCATCAGAATTAAGTGGTCTTGCGATGATTATTAATTAAAATGTACCGTTGATAGTGTATCGTCTGTCTAAGACATCGTTTGATTCCCTAGGTTTTAGAGCTTTCCATGGTACTTTGCTTTTTTTATTTCCAATAGCATTTTGCTTATAAGTCTATGAAATGTATATGTCCTATTTTCTATATTTTCAAATTCCTCTTCTATCTTTCTAATCTAACTTTTATTCTGTCTTTTTTTTGCTTTACAGACTCTTGCCATTTCTTTTCTTTTGTTTATTTTTCTCATTTTGATTAGTTAGTAAGAGTTATCTTAACCTTTCTTATCTTCCACTCCTTTCTCGACCTCATTATACCAGCCTTTAGTTCTTCTTTACTTTCCTTTCTAGAACAATAGGATTTTCTTCGCCACTGACAGTACAGGCGAACCTAAACGGTGTCTTATTCTTAATTTAATCAACAAGGAAGCAAAAAAGAATAGCAAAAGTATTTTGCGGTGTTTAGAAAAAATCGGTGGTATATATCACATTCACAATTCTCATTATTTTCAACATACCTCGACAAATAAAAAAATATGATTCGAATTACCTCAATAACACGGTGAAACTAGGTGTAAATTTCAAATTCGTAATTATCGCGATAATTTCCGGCAGAATTTGTTCTAAAAGGGACCTGATACGTTTCAACTAAAAGTTTAACCAAAGCGACATAGAATTGAATATTTGACAAATTGGATGGAGCGTTACAGCCGCAATTTATAATTTTATAAAGAAACAATATATCCGTCAGCCTTATTTTATTAGTTAACGGGATAATATTAAAATATTCGCGAGCAGAGCTATAATCACGAATCTGGATTATAAAATGTACCTTAAATTAAATAAACTTTAGTAATTTATTTTGAACCTCTTCCAAGTGATTTCTGTAGACCCTGTACTGTGGACCGAAAACCAAACTACCAAATGAAAACTTACCAATAACAAACGCGTTAAATATGCAAGCAATAGCCTTAATATTTGTTAAGTCTGCACATTTTCTAGCAATATAAACAAATAGCCTAACTGCATCTGAGCAAACTAAATCAATATGCATTTCAAACATTAGTTTATCACTTCTTTTAGCTGCTTCCAACTTTCTTCTATCTTTCTAATGAGTTCTAAGTCCTTTATAATATTTATTTGCTCTTCGTACCTTTTATCGCATTTTCTTTTCGTATTTCAATTCCATACCGTTGGACATTTTTCAAAGAAACTTCCATAGGCTACTGTAATACTATTTACAACAAATCTGCTGGATTCCTCCTGCGTCGGTTGTTGATGAATTGAACTTGCTGACGTTTCGCCAATCATCCTGGTGGCTTCTTTTGAAGCAGTTGAGCTCTGAACAACCGACGAGGAATTCAGAAGATTTCTAAATAGTGCCGTAGCGCTCCGTACCATTCCGCTTTGTTATCCTTTTTTTATTGGGCCACCTCTTTGCATTTTGTTTTTACCGAGAAGTTAAATAATCCAAAATCTGTAGCTGACATTTTTAAAGGCCATATCAATATGTTACATGAGTTACTTTTCTCTCGAATCTCTGTTTCAGTCGAGGACTAACTGGTTTTGTGATAAATGTAAAATAAAAGCGAAATTATTGGGTAATAAACCGGCCCAGAAGCCGAAAGAAGAGATCTTTCTAGCGGACGAGGAGGAAGAGGAAGAGAACGTCGAAGAGGAGAGCTCGAAAAGTGAGGATGAAAGCGATGCGTAAGTTTTCCCCCCTTTTAATACTGAAAATGGCCAGTGTTGCAAAAAAAATCTAATCGACAGGGACGTTAAAATAGACCTTTGCAAAACGTGCGGTTCGGGCGGTGAAATCATAACCTGCGACGAATGTTCGATCGGTTATCATAAGGAATGCGTCGATCCGCCTTTAAGGAGATTTCCCAGGCATGGTTGGACTTGTACCAGCTGTAGTAACCTTACCAAGCAGGACGTCCGCACCAGGGACAAGCTTCATCGAAACGGCTATTATAAAGAAACAGGTATGTCCTAAATCTGTTGCGCACTGAAATTATAATTAAAAAAAAACTTTTCCAATGCAAGTAAGTCAAGTAAGTACCGTTTCTATGAAAAATTAAAAATTCTTTCAGATTTTTATCACGTTTTCAACATAACTCGATAGATAAAAAGATATTATTCGAATTACGTCAATAACACGGTGAAACTAGCGCCATATAGGAGTAAATTTCAAATTCGTAATTGTCACGTTAAATAACCTACACCTGTCAATTATTATTATTATTATTATTATTATTAAAATGTTTTAGAATTAATGAAAATGTGCAGAATAAAAACTTTGAAAGCCTCTCTGAAATCTGCGACATCTGTATGAGTCATCATAATATTTTGGTGTCTAGTACCTTCACTTTGGAGATTGGCCATTATTTATAAATCACCCTGTATATCTGATGTTTCTATTGGCATTGTACCTAACGAAAGAATTCTCAATTGTTTTCTGGCCTTATTTTTCAGAAATGCTTACTTACTCTTCAAAAATTTGCCTTAATAAACTAAAACCTAAATTGGATTTTTGGTGACCTTTTATCGCTTTCGTAGATTAACATCCATTTACAACACAATATTCCCTATAGTAAAAGCACCATATTCACTTTAACAAAAATTTGTTTAATTAATGTGGTAAACTGTGAGCGACGAAGACAGAAAACGTCACTATCATTCCAGAAGTAATTAAATAATTTCATCAACTGATAGAGAGGATAGTTACAGTCCTCGAAGGTGTCATAAAAATTTGGATGGCTCGGCAACTCAGAACAATCAACTAATGGGTCACAAAAACTGAAATGAAATGTACCTCTTATGATTTAATAGTGGGGGAACCTTAAACATAGATCATTCTGTGCCAGTCCCCGGGCCCAGTAGAAACCACTTAAATAAAAGTGTGAGGATTTTAGGAACTCTATGCGTGTTTTCAATTTGGGATGAAATTGACTGAGATTATTAGAAAAATTTTGTTTGTTACGAAAAAATTTGAACCACACCCAAAATATATGCGAAATTCACACCTACAGTTTGTTGACCTTTTTAGATCGATCAATAATAATATTTATTGCCAAAATTCCTTTTACATAAAAAAATATTTTTACAGTAAAGGACCTATAGGTATCAAATACTGCACGTACATAGGTTAACCCTAAAATAACTAACTTACAACTGCTTACTATTCTTTGTGAGTTGCACCTCGCCGATTATACGATACAATACACAATTTAATAATTTTTTTTTTTCATTGGATATAGTGAGTTTTTTACAATTTCTCACAAATCTGTAAAATTTTATGTCTCCACTTGCTATTTTGTTAATCTTCAAACAAGAACAAAGCTCACAATTATCCACAAACTACAAAGCAAGAACGAAAATTTCACACAAGCACGTACGCACACTGACCCCAAGGAAACCACAAAAAATTAGGTAAATTCACTTTGTTTAGATCTTATATTGTAGGGTCCACAAGTGGATTCTTTTTTTTTTCATTATTTTTTGAAATGGCAAATCCTTTCGGGCACACATCAATTTGGAAATGGAAATTAATTAATTCATTAATATTTTGATACAAGGTGAGAGTTGATAAGTGTGCTTAATTTTGCATATCGAAATTTGAGCCTTAATATTGACATGCATACACTTAACTTGGACAATTTTCAAGGGAAATTTAATTTGAAAAATCTGAATTTGTGTATAGAGAGTAACTACGAATTTAGTTATTATTATACAACACACTCCATATCCTTCCTTTTTAGAGTTATTTATAATTTAATTACTACATCAACATCGTCTTTTACTTTGTTATGTTGTCCTCGTGTGTACAATGGCAACATAGAAAATAATAAATTACTGTTCTCGTGTGCAGATAAATATGGCAGCGCAGCGGAATTACCTAGATCGCACAATGGTCAGAGACGCTGCGCTGCAAAAGCCATTCGTAACATCCATTTATTCGTCAAGACTCTGCATAGGAAAAGCGAAAGCTACTGGCGACAAGGTGGGTTACCTTCGACCCTAGTTGTTTCTTTTCCTATTTTCGCTTACATAGCTTGTACCATCAGTAAGTCGATTGAAGATTATATTTGAAAATGTGACTAGGTACTATATCAAAATATGCATGCATTAGAGTTTTTTTACATACAAAAATTTGCCTTTAAAAAAAGTTACAATCAATCCAACTCTACATCTTCATTAATATTAAAAAGAAATAAATTTGCTTAGGATGGCTGCTTAAAATTAAGCATCTGAGGAAATTTCTACAAAAAAAATCAACTAACATTGGTTTATCTCTCCTTAGTACCTTCGCATCTATCATATGAGATTTTAGAGTGGGGTGGAGTAGCTTACTTACCAGGTCCTGAGTAATACCCCACTGACCAACATTGCGGAAACAGATATTCGTCAGCTTTATTGTTTGGAAATATGAAAGAAATGTTTATAAGGCAAAAACTAAACGACACAAAGAATAAAAAATGATCCAACAAGAAGGAATATTAACTTTGAATTTAGCTTCGCACCAACAACCGTTTCACAATGCTCTGAAGAATAGTTTGCACCAAGAGTATACGATTCTTTATTTTTAAAATTTCACCTTTTTAAAAAGTAAAAAATTGGATGGTTAAAAATATGAAAAAATGCGATGAACTAATTAAATTAAATTATGTTATATAGGGAATTTGTTACAATTAAGAAGTCTAATTTTGTTATTGTCACTGTAATAGTGTAATAGTTATATTTCACTACATTCGTTTGACAAATTACTTTTTGGTTTGTAATATTTGCAAGATGGAAAGTACCAAGTTATATAAAGGCAGAATCTTCTTTCCACCCACTGGTGTGTTAACCTATCCTGGGTCCTTATTTTGAACTTCCCATGGTTAAGGAACTGACATATATATATGAGTAAAATAACATCTATAATGGATGCGAGTTGCCTGAAGCACGAAAATTAAAAGCAATTACATGCACTAAGAGCTAACTAAAATATAGCATAGTAAAGTTAGTGCTTGAATCGATGAAGATTGGACTTTGTAAAGTTATATATTTCTGCTTGTATATTTTATTTTCTATTACCGCCGAATATGCGATTTTTTTTATAGATTCCGGGGATGAATTTAACAAAAGCAGCAGTCGAAGGGCTAATAAGGGGGTACGGCGGGAAGACGCAAGGGAAGATCTGCCTTTGAACAATGCTGCCCTTCAAGATCTTCTCGCCGAAGTCATGAAGCATAAGGATGCGTGGCCGTTCGTTAGGAAAGTTCAAAAAAATGAGGTGCATAATCATATTAAATTTCTGGTTTCAATAAATTTAGAGCGGAATAAGCTGCTCGCACCTAATTTTTTATTTCTTATAAATATTTATTAGTAGATTTTGAAGATTCCTGCCGAATATTTTTGAAATGCAGTAACTCAAAATAATTTTACACGCATTCGAAATGCACTGTGACGTCACGATGCAGTATTGTTTTAACACATAACCGATTACTTAGTCCGTCTCAATAGAGAAGAGTCGAGTGACGTCAGATGCGCAGAAGACGAATTTGAAATCAGCTGTCGTTCGCAAAAGCGGCAGCCATTGGCGTGGATCAAATAGTGTGTTTCGCGGTTGTGTTTTGTAGGTGCTTGTATTTCGTTCATTTTTATAGACTATTATTTTCGTTTTGGTTGCAGTATCTTTGTTAAGGTAAGGTCATTTTAATAAAATAATATTATTTTATTTTTTAGTTTTAATCAGACAACAAAATATTTTATTAGTATTCATATTATGTAAAAAAAGTTATTTTTGAGGGATTGACGTTTATTCATAAAAAATGGTATTCATTTTTTTTTGTAGATGGAGGAATACTGATGACAACAGAAAAGTACTAATGGAATCACACAACATTCGATTAAAAAGGGTCAAATTCCTTAAACAAATAAAGTTTCGACAGGTAAGAGGAAGGTACATTGTCTACACTGATGAAACGTAAATTCATAGTGGACCCACATCTGATAAAGGAACAAAGGAAGGTTTGATGACAGCGAGAAAGGAATAAGAAGACCTAATTTATAGCATTTTTATATATATATATATATATATATATATATATATATATATATATATATATATATATATATATATATATATATATATATATATATATATATATATATATATATATATATATATATATAGCAAATTGAAAAGGACAATATGTAAATTATTAACTATACACATTTATCCAAAATTTTCAGTTATAACGAACTAAAACCCAATAAAATGTACTAGAATAATAAACATTATTGCTAAATCTGGTAAAAGCGCCAGGCGTTGAACAATAAAATACGCGTAATTGAAATAAGTGCCGCCAGTGTCTCATCTACACGAAAAAGAACGCAATAACGCGAGGAGATAGGAGTTTATTTCGCGCATCAAACAATGACGTGAATGGGCTCTTCTCTATTGAGACAGACTAAAAGAGTTTAGCTTAGTTCAACAATTCCCACCTGATGACTTTTAATGCGTCGTGACATCCCTAGGCGTTTCCGGTGTAAATTTTGAGTCATTATTTTTTTTTAAGTGTCGAATAGACTTCAGCAAAGCATTTATGATGTTTTTCCTCAAGTTTAAAGTTGAGTGGAGGAAAATGTGTCTGTGGTAAGGTAAATGACATTAATTATACATGGTGGAATTGACCGGAGAATTTTTTTTTGTGTTAATTGACCAGGCAAATGACCGAAATAATTTTAAAAATACAATGAAAGATATATTTATTTAATTATTTATATTGTGGGTTACATTGTAGTCGCGTCGTTCTGAGAACTAAATGGAGTTTTTTATTGGGATTCTTCGAATCGCTAAGTATTCGGGTATTCCCTGGAGAGGGTTCTAGGGAAATTGGACACCACAAACGCATAATTTATTCTAAAATGCTAATTATTATTAAATAATGATAGATAACACTTAATGTAATTTAAAACATTTTGATCGAATTAATCCTTTGAAGGTTTTTTACGATCACTTTTTTTTAATATATCTTTTTGCATACCTATATTTTCGCATAAGGTTTTCGCTGTTGACCTAGGTGGATTACTAAAATTCTGGTTCTTCTAGCATATAATAATAGCCACTGTTTCTTGTCATTCTCTTTTTTAAACTTTAATATTTTTATTTTATTTATTTATTAATTTATTCAGGCGTAAGAAAAATGTTTTAAACAAATCATAAATAACTGGAGAGCGTACAAATGAATGAAAAGGTTTGTGTGTTTATGCCGGTACCAGAAAAATTATCTCAAAACTAAATACCTGAAATTTTAAAAAAATTCCCAATAGCTGAATGAGGACTAAACTTATCCTATTCTCTATATCCTGTGATTTTTTTGTATTTATGATTTATTTATTATTCTATTTTCAATTTTATACTCAGTAGGAAAAATAGATCTTGGTACCAAGAAATGCAACATATTTGTTTCATGGTAATCCTTGTAGTTTTTTGTATTTTAAAAGTTTCATATATAGTTAGAATTTTAACAGTCATCAATGGTAAAAAAAATATGTATGTTATAGTAAGTATAACAAAATGAAAAAAATTATAAGTTTTTCTGCATTGGAAACCTGAAGTCCAAAATTTTTTTTTATTTATATTTGCCGAAGCTATTTGAAAATTTTCGTTTGTTTGCTATTTTTTAAACTTTGGATAAGCGTATTTGTCATGCATCTTTTTTATTGAGTCGCATCGTTTATATTTTAGGTACCTGATTACTTTGACATCATTACGAATCCGATGGATTTTGGCACGATTAAAAATAAACTAAACATGGGCGAATACAGTACGGACAGCCAAGTCATGAAGGATATCGCTCTTATTTTCGAGAACTGCAATACTTACAACAGCAGTTCCGATGAAGTGTACAAGTAAGAAAATTAATTACTTTTTTTTATTAATCTTCTATAGGCTATCCCATTTTGGATGGTTTTACGTGTTGCGGCTTCGACATTCAAGGGTTTGGCTTTTTTAGGAAATTAAAAGTGGCATAAATAGAAATCTCATAACTATCTTGGAGTTTCAGATACAGTTTGATTTTACAATGTTGCATTTTCAGACCCACCCTTTTTAGGTTGTGTTAACTTATCAAAAATCAAGTGACCTACTCAGTTTTCTTCTGAAATTCACAAATTTTGATATATAAACCAAAATTGTTTTTTTAATGGGACACCAAGTATACGTTTTAACAATCTTTATATCTTTAATTTTATCTTTTTGTTAGAAGAGCATAGAGAAAAGTTCCGTTTTCCTAATATTTAAGTGCATCCCTGCTGTTGCTGTTAAGTGACTTAGCTAATATCGTCGGTATACAAGAGAAAGCGACCAAGTCCAATATTAACAGTTTTGGAAATACATATTGAATAGCTTTCGGTCATTCTATTTCAATAGTCAAAATAACTTAAGTAGTGTTTTCTTATAGTCATATACCTATTATTATTTTTCTATTTGAGGGAAATTTGAACTTGGTCACTTTCTCATGAATATAAAATCAAATATTTCTTGAAAGTTTATTTTAGTGCTACTACATATTGAAAGTAGGTTTTTGTTAGTCTACTACCATAATCAATTTTTTTTTATTGTTTTGTTAATCATAATATAACTATAATTATTATTTTCCTATTCGAAGGAAATTAACGTTAATTTGTTCACCTAACATTTATTAACTATTTAAATAACAAATTCACGATTATAACAAATTATGAAACAGTAATAATTACTAATAAGAAAAATTAAGTAGAATTAAAATAATCCTAACATTATACTTCATCATCACTGCTTTCGTCTTGTGCAGGTTCGGGGCATTTGTCTTTTATGGAATTATAACTTGGTAAGGTCATGTACCAGATACTCATTGGGAATAACTTCAGTTCGGCAAAGTTTAACTAAGTCATCCTTTTTGTTTTTGCATAATGGCAATGGACCTGAGTAGCACTTTTTAAAATCTGATTCTTTCAGTGTACTACTAGGTCTACCATTTACTTTTCCTCTTACATTTAGAACTTTGTATTTTTCATCGTAATTGTACCCGAACAATATTACATTTGTTGTTCCTTTTTCATATTGGATTTGTTTGATCTTCAGTCATTCTACTCTTTGACCACTTTCGTCTCGAATCTTATTTTTTAATGTTGATTTGCTGAGTTCTTTAAGTTTGATAAAATTATTGTACGTCAGCTGGTGAACATTATAAGCACTTGAAATTTTAGTTTTTCCTCTCTTGGATCGTGCTACTGTCATAATTGTTTTCCAGTCATTTAAGCAAAAGTTAGGGATATACCTTTTGGTTCGTTCTATTGTACTATGCATCGAATCTGCTTCCATGTGTGAATGGCCTTTTTCTAAAAAGTTATGTGTTATAATTCCTATAGGTAAAACTTACACAATAAATAAAAAAGGGCAGCTATGTATTGGTTACGATTTTGTCCGCTGCTTTGTAAATGAAAACTAACCGATACAAAACTTTCGTCATTACACGCCCTTTCTTTATCAAGTTCTTTTGCTCTATTAGCATCATCTCTGCGTTTAATATGAGAGTAATATTCATCAGATTTCTCGATATTTTTAGCCTCTTTTACACGTTGTAAGTATCAGTCTTTTTTGGCTTAAAAAAAGATAAATTATATTGTGGGCAGAGGATTCGCCGGTAAGTTATAGCAAATTCTTTTTGATTGTTTACTTGCGCCTCTTCATATAAGTGTTTTTAAGAATTGATAGTGTAGAGTCAAGATATTTGCGCTTAGTCTGACGCCGGCAATAGTGCGATTCTATAACTTGGAAATGACTCAGTGTGCCTTCTCACCTAAAATGTGTGGTTTTGTCTTATTTCCTGGGAAATTCTTACCTCTTCGATCTTTTTTGATATGAGTAATTCCACTTTTACCTTTATTTGCTAGTGCTTAGTCCACAGGTCTATGACTTATGGAAAGGGGTTTTAAATAAAAAAAATGCAAAACCTTTTTTAATGCATTTTTTAGAAAATAGTATGACTTCCAAACAGTTTTTCTCGGTCTGATAGATGTTCTTACTTGTGTTCTTTGACTTGCAGATGTTTTTACGGTATTAATTATAAAATCATTTTGTCTATCATATGATAATTTGTTTAACTCTAAACAGAAAGCTTGTCTTTGTCCTTCTGAATTTGCTTACCTTTGGTATTAATGTGAGATAAACAAAATTTTTTAAGCAATTTATTTTTGTCTCGCTTTGTTCCTTGAGGATCTTTAGTACTCCATCTATCTACGTTTTGGAATTACCCGATATTTTGAATGGGATTGATTGGCGTTTCACTATTAACAGATATGCATTCGGAACCCAAATCTGTATTATACGAGGTGTCCATAAGGTCTTCTTCAGAATTTCGTTTGCATTGTTGTAACAATTATTTGAACTGCCCATGCTCATTTTAAAACTAAAATTTAATACATATGTACATAGGTATGTAGGTACTAAGCAACAAAGCACAGTATTACTTACCAAAAGCTTTGATAAAGTATTTTGCAAATTTATAACACTTTGAAAGTTTTTGATTTAGTACACAGTACACACTCCAACTTACAATCAATAATCTTATTTAAAATTCTAAATGTCAAACTACAATAAAACTGTTGACGTTAGAACGATCCATGGCTATCTTGATTTGACCATATACAAAATTCGGAGTTTTGGAGCAATAATATCAGGAAAACTTAAGTCATTTTCTCTTGTAAGTTTTTTTTTACGTATCGACTTCAACCATTGTAAAATATCAACTTATGGAATTCATTTATATAAAAATAGGGCTGATCAATCCTTTCTGTAAAAATATATTACGTTTTCAACATTTTACTGTTACAAATTAAATTCTAGAAACTTTGGACTTGGCCACTTTCTCTTGTATACCGACGAATATTAGTGTAGTGCATCAATAAGCCTTCTAACAAAGAAAAAATATTGTGAACATTATATGTTATCTGCTGTATTGTTTGCTTTTTTTTTAGTATAAAACACATATTTTTGTTATTTTACCCTATATATTGTTTTAGTTTTTGAGTATAAAAAGGCAAATTTTTGTTAAGTATTTGTTGCCTTTGAGAGCATTTTGATTATGTATAGAATGGTATTTCAGCCGTTGGAAAATGGCTTGAAATAGCCTAAATGAAAATGGTATTGTCGAGTGTCGAGAGTGGGTTCAGTGAATTAAAAAATCCCCATAAGACCTCAGATATCCCCCTGGTAAACCCAGGAGAGAAATAAAGAAAAAAATCTATTATCTATAGAAATATCTCCTGGAAAGAAGAATCTTTAGCGTCAATTTCCTATGAGCATTTTAGAACCTGAAACTCCTTATCAATTTTTACTAGACAAAACTTCAGATTTTCGTGCCTCCCGTGAAAGAAAGAAAAATTCGATGCAAAGAGCCAAGTGGCGAAGGATTTATACCACAACACGCAAAAAGCATAAAATAGCATTACATCTCTATAAAAAATTATTCTTGTAAGCAATTTCATACTCGGCAGCATTTTTTTAATGCATATGTTAGACTTTCGGCAACATTGGTAATTTTCTTTAAATTAAAGAAAAGAAAGAAAATATTTTTTCCTTATTTTTCAAAAATTTATAATTGCTATACTGAATTAAATACAATCTAAAGGGAATTCCAAGATAGCAACAAATATCTAAACACTGAGAGCAAATCAATGATCTATAAAAGCGCGGTTAGACCTACTTTAACTTATGCAGTAGGGACAAAATCAGATACCACAAAGACCATACAAATGTGGCGCACAGTGGAACCAGTGGAACCAAGTGTAATACAATCCAGAATCTATAAGAAAACCGACGAGGAGGTGGAAAGAATGCTAGACATCCTCACAAGGAGAGCCTTTACTAGGATAAGCAAGAATCTAGTAATAAGGTGAAAATTCTGAAATAAACACTTAAATAGAATGAACGACAACAGATTGCCAAAAATGGCATCGAACAATATACCAGTCGGAAGAAGATCCAGAGGAAAACCGTCGAAAAAATACTGGACATCCTAATCTAGAGAGGCTAGGACAAGTAGCGATAGTTTATTAGATTGGAAGCCGTATTAAAAGAAGAAATTTACTCATAACCATGCTACAAAGTGTGTCTAAAAAAGCAACATTTTTAAAATCACCATGTATCTATGACGTTTCTGTTAGCGGCATAAGAGCAATACATCAAAATTTCGCACTTTATTTTGACTACACGATATCTACGGACCTATTTCTTAATATTGTTTTTGTTTGCTTCAGATGTGGGGAAAAGCTTTTAAATTATGTTTCGACGCAGGCAAAGAAGTACGGTTTCAAAGTTCCGAGGTTATCGAACCAGGACGAGCCACGAGTCAAAAAGCGTAGATACGAATAGTAACGGTGGCAGCACGTCGAAATTAGGGAGGAACCTATTTTTTTATACGCCACCGAAAACTCACCCGCTTCGTTTCGTATTTGTACATATCTTTTTTTACTGATTTTTCAATTTGGTGTACCATATTTTGTTCCATGAACGTCTTACAGCGCTGATCTAGCAATTAAAACACACCTTTATATTTGAAATTTTTTCTTTGCGTAACTTTAAATCCTATATTAGTCGCGAACAGACAGGTGTGTCGTAATAACATGCCGTTTTTTAAGGGTACGATTCTTGGCGTGATTTTTATTTACATTACATTTCTATATACAGGGTGTTGAAAGTATTTAAGAAAATGGTTTTTTCATCGAAACCGCGTGGGTAAAAAGTTTTTTTTTACTTTTCGTCGTCGGCGTCGGAATAAAGATATGGATATTTTTATCCAAAAATAATAATAGACAGCTGCTTGTTCCTAAAAAAATGTATTTTTAAAATCACGATTTATCTCTGAGTAAAATTGCTCTGTTAACCTTTTTTTGGCAGTTTTTATTAAAAAAAAATGATACGCCACTGCTTTTTAACAAATAAATTTTAAAATAAAAATAACCCCTCTACTTTGTGTCGTCGAAGAATTAAATTAATATAAGCGACGCCGACTTTTAATCGACAAAAATGGATTCGCCACTGCTTTTTTCAAAAATAAATTACATTTTTTAAATTGCTGATCGTTTCTCAGTAAAAACGATTTATCGACTTTAACTTGCTTATTTTTATCTAGAAAAATGATACGCCACTGCTATTTTCAAAAATAAATTGCAAAACTTTTTTCTCCAGATTTCGTGTTAAAATTTTCATTTAGTTTTCAGATATACTCTGATTTTTTTGTTTTGATATTTTGGGTTATATTTTTTGAAAAATCAGGAGTGCATCCTTCCTTACGCATGAAAGTAGAAAAAATGGTATTAAAAAATATATATTTCTACTCATCAAACAATCGACGAAATATTGAAAGCAGTTTCAGTGAAAATGGGGAGAAAATAAATACTTTTTTTTAAATCATCCAAGCAATCGCCATTAAGGTTCAGCATCTTATTAGGAAACACCCTGTAGATTTAACTACAGTTTACTTCGTTCTAACTCCTCGAGGATCCTGTCGATGGAATAGTAGATTAATTTGTCATGCATATCGGGGGTGACAGACTTGTTCACTTCGTTTTGAACGTAATCTACCAAATTTTTCTGCTGGATCCTTCGCATCACAAATTCCAGCTCCACGTAATAATCCAGCCTCCTCTTTACTTCGTTGTAGACAACCATCTGTCTCCTTCTGAATTCTTCTTCGATTTGTAACGCTACATTCTGCCTTTTGGCGTCCATGAGCATGATTTGTCCTTCGATTTGATACTGATTGAAGAGCTCTTCAACGATTTGATCCTCCAAGTAATTCGTCGTTTCCGTTCTGTTTTGATTCCACTCGTGCTCGTATTTATCTATTTCAAGGTCCAAGCGATGTGCCAGAGGCGGACCAAACACTTTTACACAAGCTGTGCCCAAGACTACCCAAGCGAGGCCATGGTAGAAGTAGTGATCTAGCACGTATACTTCCTTGCTGACCAGAAAAGTGCCGAAAGCGAACAGGAGTGTGTAAAATCCTGTAACGCCGGTTTTTGGTATGAAAAAACTCGGCCATTCTTCGGGAATGAATCCCGCTACAACCTACAAAATTTATGTCGAGGTCAGCAGTTGCCTATGCATTTGTAGTGACGTTGGTGCCCTTCCAAAAAGAAAAAACTTGCAATTGCATAAATATTTTAAGTGTTTGGCCCCCATCCCCTAACTTACAGACTGAGAGGTTAACCACTATTGTAAAAATTGTGACAGTATTGATCAAGACTCGACCTAAGGGTGAACCAGAATCGGTGATTTCCACACTAATTTGCTGAAACATTATATGATATGCATGATGCCTCATGATTGCGGCGGTAACATCGGTATCTATCTTACAAAGAAAGGTCTGTTGTTTTAAATAAGTAAAATTTTGGGGTTGACATTTTCAAAACGTGGTTTAGCCTAAATTTAGATTTTTGCAAAATTAAGGGTCAATTTATTTTTTTTCGTCAATGCGTTTTTAGAAATCTTTTTTATTTGAAAATCTTTAACATATACTTCGCCAAACTGTATTTTTTCCAAAATTTCAACTAAAGGAGAGAAGAGAATTGAAGAAAAGTTTACAACATAATTTTAAATGACTTTAAACGCCATCGTATGACTTGTTAGCAAAACTTGTGTTTGCTTAGTACTCCAAAATAAAGCAATTGCAATTTTATAAAAAAAATTCCTGCAATTTAAGATTTCAATCATGTCCATATGTTTTTCGCTTTGGTATGTTTTAAAGGTTTAGATTTATGGAAAATTAAAAACTTAAAATGATCACTCAAAAAATGTTAAATTAAAATAGTCAAAACAAAATCTGATTAAGTTACTAAATATCGGATGTCTATGTTTAACGCTTTGGCAATGCAGGTTACTTATTTACATTGCCTACTGTAAAAAATAAATTATGCAAATTAAAAAACTTCTATAAAAATGTGACTATTTTTGCAGATTTTTGGGATTTCCACAGCGATTTCCAAGGCTACACAATAATTTCGCATGATTGTGGCCGATTATGTTGTGACTAAAATACTACCTACACAAAATCGTTCATTTATACCTCCTCCAATAAATGAGCAACAAACCTTGCCTGGGTCTTGACGAAAAGGTCTGTTAATTATGGAAGTATTGATTGAATTTCTCGAATTTTCTTCTTTAATATGAACCGCACTGTTTTCGGTTGGATAATTAAAATCGAAATTCTCCCAATTTGTATCGTTTCGCTGCTTTAACAATTCCTTCCCCACATAATTAGACAGTTCGATTTGTCCAATTGACTGGCTTAACTTGATAGATTCCTTAAATATACGACAACGTACGTGTGCTTCTCTCTCTTTTTCTTGCCGGGCTTGTTCTAATAAACGTTCTTCGCTAATTTTGGAGAAATCTTCGTAAGACTGAGTCCTGACAGGCGGTGGGGTTTGCTCTTGTTTAACTTCCGTTAACAAGGGAAAAAGTTTTGATTTGTCATAAGCGTATGATCTACAGTAAACTACGTTATTAAATAGAAAGTTTTTTATGCGAAACATATTTTCTTAATTCTCGCGGATTAATATCAATTCAAATTCGAAACGGAAAATGTCATAAACCATTTCTATGAGCAATGTTCATATTTGGTAACTCAACAAAATTTACGAGCGCGTAGGACACTCGTCCACCACTGTCTGACGTTACCTGAAAATCTTCAGCGGGGAGGTAAAATAGGAAGTCTTAAGTGTAAGTGCATTTTCTTTTATTTAATGATAATGTTTTAATAATATTATCTTAAAATATTTAGGACACTAGACACTTACTTTAACTCCCAGTTGTGAGTTGTGACCAAAGAAGTAAAAGAATCATTCTTTGTATTGAGGGTTAAGTGGTTTATTTTGTCGAAATCATTTGCTTTTGCTTACTGTTTGGAATAGTAATTTAATAATCATATTTTATAATGTCACTCGGACAATATTTTCCTTCCCTTATTTTGACCATTGAATTGTAACATCATCAGATGTATTCTTTGTTTAGGTTAGGTTGTTTATTTTTGTGACCCAATTCCGTTTGTTTTTATTTAATGTGTAAATTAAAAATAGGCATGGATTTTGAACTTTATAAAGAAATAGCAAATGTAGTTTTTAACTACAAAGGACTTTCCAGAGATTGTTTAAAATTATTACAGAAGCTTTTCCCAGGGTAGTTTGATTTTACAAAAAGCTATATTTTTGTAATAAAATTTTTTAGCGTTAGTTGTGATACTTTATACAGCATATTATCTCATGGATATCAACGAAAAATGAAACGCAATTACGGCAAGTGCCAGAGTAAACGTAATACTTTTTGGGAACTTTACAACAAGGGCTTGAGTAATGGCGAAGCTCCTGGTATATTGTTAAATTTATCTACAGCTTTAGATATATCTCCGTGCTTGTTGGCGAAATTAATTATGCAAAAGTACTTCGATAATTTGGACAGTGACAGCAAAGATGTCTCAGTTAATATTAATTTGAAAAATGCCAACTTTATACCTGATCAGGTTTTGGCATATGAGGTTTTCTTGGTAGGTTTTTTATATTAACTTAAATTGACTCAAATTTGGAAATTGCTCTTTTAAATGGTGATAGTGCAATATGTAAAAACACTTTGACTGAGTTCAACTGTTGTGCAATTGATCACCTATGATCCAATTTTTTTTTAGTGTACAATATTTGACAACCTGTATAGTCCATCAGCAGATGCTATGAAGATGTAAAGACTCCATTTGAGTGTCAAAATCTTTTTAATTGCAAAAAATGTATTAGGTCTTTAGGTCAACAGTATGAAATAAAATTGTACAAAGAAGCAGCTAAACTGGGTCTCACCTTCAGAGACGAAGAATACTTGAGAAAGCATGGTTATGACAAAACGCCAGACTTAAAACTTGAGGTTCCTGTTGCGTGTGACGGATTCATTATTAATTGGATCGAAAGTAAAGCATTGTTTGCAGATGAGGAATGTCATAATGATTATATGAAGAGTCAATATCTTAGTTACTGGAACAGGTTAATTTTTTATGTTTTGTTGTCACGTTTTTATCTGCATTTCATCATCATTTTTTTACAGGTTTGGTCCAGGATTAGTCATATATTGGTTTGGTTATGTCAAAACCATTCTCGATCCCTTGGACAAACGATTCATCATACGAGATCATGTACCGAAAAATATGCTAGTTCCATATCAATAATTTTTTTATGAGGCCAAAAAATACCTGCACGTTTTATTTCACGTTACTAAACTGAAGATCCTGAAATGGAAATTCAGAATGTGATCAAAATCAAATGTAATTCTTCCAGTTTTAAATTAAAACTAATAAAACATAGTGTTTTGAGAATTGGACTCGAATCATGATATAAATTAATAAGCATGTTATGGGTTTTTGCTATAAAAAGATATTTTTTCTAAACAGCTACAGATAGTGATGCGCCGTCTCCAATTTTTAAAGAAAGGTAGTGAAAATAGGGAACTTGCTCAAAAAATAAAATCAATTAAAATCATAAGATATCAAAACTAAGTTCTCATAAAAAGAAAAAAATCCAATCGCAATTAAATTACCTGAAACGTAAATGTTTAAAACTGAATTATTTTTGCCTGCTCTTAAAACGCGTTGCTATTGGTTGTGACGTTAGACCGTTGCATTTCGATCTAGGCACGTAAACAAACATTGAAATAACATCTAAAATTATCAATACTCCTTGATAGACCGTGATACACAGTTACTTTCGGAGAAAGTTTTGGTTAGTTTGATTTGGTGGTTCTATTCAGACTGAAAATGTTAAAATGTTGAAAATTTACCCAAAGTTGATATATTTATGACTGCATCATACATTAAAAAATCGAAGAATTTTTGTCAAGCTGAAGTTTGTGATGTAAAAGCTAGGAATTAAGCATAAGTAGTAAATAATTAAAATGAAAAAAAATATATTCAATTTAATTTAAAAAGTTTGATAATTGAAGTTTAACGGAGGCGTTTATACACAAATTGAATTTAAGATTTATTTCAATTTTAAAGTTGACTTTAAACTTTGCGGTTAATAGTATATTATGCAACAAGTGCGGTAAACGGCATTTCAGTCACGACTTTATTTGGCACGAGCGGAGCGGGTGATTAATAAACGACTAAAAAGGTGTACCAAACGTGTTGCATACTATACGTTTTCTGCAATCATTAATTTTTGCGGAACAATACATTTAATCCTTACAGTTCATATAGTTACTAGACATATCGAGGCCCTGCCTATGCTAATAATACAGGAACTCGTGAAGCAACTATGTAACAAAATTTTGAGATCTGTTCAATATGCGCATGCGCGACATTTGAAATTACGTTTTCAACCAATGGCAGTTCTAATTGCAAATTCTGACGTTCGACCCATAAAGCCTTGCGGCTTCCAACAACCAACATGGCCGCTGGCAGGTCGTCAATGTTTGGGTGCTGGATTTTTACGGCAGTATTTTTTCAAAATATGTCGAAATCCTATAAAATTTTCAGGCAAAAAAGAAACTAAGGTGTGAAAAGCGTTGTTAAAAAAATTAGCGCGACAAGTACAGGCTTAATATTACACTTAATTACAGCACACGGATCGGTGTCTTAATAGAATTCTATAAGTAGTTTGGCGTTTTGATTCTTTAAGCTCTATAGACACGATACCAGCTATTTTGTTTTTACAAACTTATTGGTTTAACCTCCATTGAAAATGTAAATAAAGTCGAATTCACGAAATGTGACTCTAAAAGTGTAAATATAACTTTGAGGTACTAGATATTGCACTGGAAACATCTAAGTGGAAAAAATGTTCAACAAGCACCTCATATCGACAGAACGCTCATTCTTTCATCGCAAATCTAGTAATTGCAAAAAGTTTCGCTTGCCAAATGTATAATTATGAAAAGTACCAATGGACAATTTTGTTAAAAAACTGTAGGTATTGGAAAATGTAACCACGCAAAATTAAAAACTAGTATAAAACAAGTCCATAAACAATTAGCTCTAAATGTAACAGAATTAACACTACCAAACCCTAAACAGTAATTTATTGCCTCAATATTTAAAAAACATTTTTCTAGCAAAAATTGCATGGCGGCTACCGCAAAGAATTTCTCGTTAAAACTATTTAACAACAATCGTTAAATGCTAAAAACACATGTAGAAATTGCATTGTGTCTACCGGGCTTTAGATACTAGTATCAACTCACAGAATAATTTTGCAATATTCTATTGCAACCTGGATTCAAATGTAGATAACTAAAAATTACTTTTCCAGAAATGCTCGGGATTTTTTAAAAGTGTAAGCTGACATGAAATATTCTTAAAGGAAGATATCCTATTAAGAAATATTTTTTTCCAGATGCACACTCAATGCTGGTTTTGTAGACAAGATTGTGGTTTATGCCTACTACTTACCTTTAATTATAATAGCATTTTATATAGCGTTTTATCAACTCATTTTGGTTAGTATAAATAGATAAATGAATTATTTAATAAAGCCTTTATTCAAAAGAATAAAATATATTGTTGCTTATAAATACAATAAGAATTTACATAAAAATATATGCTGCATTTTTCTAATAGCATAATAATATTTATTTTTTATTTTTCAAGGAACTTTTATATTACTTGATTTGAGAGGACCACCCACCTTTAAAAATTTCAAAACAGAATATGAAACCAATAAAAAAATGTTCATTTATAATACAATAAAATATTAGTAATTATGGTTAGAATAACTACAGCACAAATTTCATTAACGGTAAATTCAAAACAAAATTTAAATCAGAAGCACTTGTTGACAATATATTACTGTGCCTTAAGTTCTTTTTAAAAACTGATGACCGCTGGTTATTCTGTGCCAGGCTTTTCTATAACTTGTAATGTTGTTTTGACTACCACTGAAGATTAAAGTTTGCTGATTTCTACTCTAGTCCTACTTAGGAACGAAATTATTATTTTGACTTGTTGGAAATAAAGCCTAAAAACGCCCACTATCAACAAAGATTTCTTCTTATGTTCAAGATTACCAACATATTACCAACAAAATAATATTTTTGAGGAATGTGGACTTATTTGATAAATTTTATCAGTCTGGTTAAAAAAAGGTACCATTTGGCACTTTAAATATGGGCTGTTAAGTACCATCAGCAAATAGAATGACCAGAAAACAAGTAACCCGATTTACAACTGATCACAATATCTACCTAAAAGACACTGCACTGCCTACTTTATCAAGACTTTACCACCTCTTCTATAGCTTAAAGGAGTGATTTGACCCCCACATATGGATGATCTTCTAAAGTTATCAGCATCCCTGGAAGGTCCTTGACAAGCAATGTTATCCATTGTTTCCTTACAATTTCATCTTTTGGTAAACTAAAAAATAAAATGTAGATTGAATGACACTACCTGAATAAGTGATTATTATATCAACACTAACACAAACAATCATATGTGCAAGTCTAACAAAAAAAAATGGGATAGAGAACATCCCACACTTGTAGTAAATAGTCCCACAACTTGTACTAAATAGCTATTCATACAAGGGAGGTAGGTGATACTTACGAGTCAAGGACATAACTTACTCTTGAGCTAAGCAAGGGTTGGGAAAATAATTGGAGACTAATCAATATCTCTTCCTCCCAAGTTGTGCATATAATATTTTTCCTACTCAAGTTGTCCCGAATCCAACAAGCAGATTTACAAAATCAGTATTTATTGATAGAACTGGTTCTATTCAATCAGTGCCAAATTTTTGTATGTATGTACTGCAGTATTCACTTACCTCTCTAAGGCCTACAAATCAAGTATCCCAAAATTTTGAATACTTGCCTAAAATTCCTGGCAATTCTCAAAGATTTTCTGTAATGCCTTCACACTTACCAAAAACATCCTGCAGATGTATCGTTCAAGTTCTTCCTGTTGCAGTTGAACTGATTCTGGTAATTCTCCACTTTCTGCGGTAATAATTTCTGTAATTTTGGACCAACCGGAAGGTAATTTCGTTATCACTAAGTGTGATGATGACAAAAGAAAACTTTCCCACGTTGAGGTTTACAAGGATTTGTCATTATCAAGGAGTATTTCTTGTGATTGTTCTAGTAAAACTTGCAGCTTAATTGTTTTCTTATATTTCCTCTAATTCTTGTACACTAAAACATATTAGCCAAACATCTTTCCTATGTAGCTATTTAAGTGTACCTTGCAGTTTGTTAAATCACTCGGGTTTGTCTCAAATTCTATTAGGTCCTGATATTTGCCACACTTGTAATTGCCTGAAGGAGCAAGTATTGAAAGCACAAATTATACAAGTTTGTGAGTGGGAGTCCTATAGAAACCAATTTTAAAACTTTTAAATTAACTTGTACATAAAGCAACACTTACCCGAATATAGGCACATTTTTTTCCTTAGAGTTTTGACCACAAACAACAAGTTTTTCACAAAAACCACCAAAAAAGTAAACAGCAATCGCACAGACTCTATGGTACTAGCAATTCCTAGCTCGGCGTTGCCAATTATATAGACTGATTTTGCGTTCGTAATTTTTTCAGAAAAATTACGGCAATGTGTAATTAAGTATTTTACAGAAGGGAGTAGAAAAATTAAATTACTAGTTACTAGCTTTTATCAGCTCAATTATTTAAATATTACAGTTACTTTATTATTATTTTATATGAATTTTAATTCAATATTAAAATGCTTCACTTTTCTGTAATTATTTCTATGATTTTCATAAGCAAACAAATGTACTTCTGATTCTATTTTTATTAAGTCAAAAATATATGCATAGAATCTATTTTACAGTATTTTTCAAGAAAATACATAATATAGGCATCATCAGGTAACCCCAAGTATTACCTAGGCCTATTTTGCAACTTCATTGCTGTAGAGCGTAAGCATATACTTTTAAGAGTATTTTTCTTTTCATCAGAAAGTTCTTCACTCACTTCATTATGACTACTACTACGAGCTTGACTAAGTGTCATTATAACCATCATTTTCATTGAAACGATTTTCACTACTTTTAGACTAAACGGACTGTCGTACATATTTTTTAGATTAGATTCTGGTTTTTTCATATCTTCATTATAAAACTTAATTAAACATTACAGGTCGATGCGCTTGTATAGAAACACTTATTTGTGGCAAATTAGCATCAATACTTTTCACGTCCATGGCCAGCCAGTAATAGGTTGGGGGTCGCTTTGAGGACTGACACTAGTTTGACACCGATAATGTTGTAGTAGAACAGAAAGTTACTGCTTCATCAAGAAGTCTTGTATTTGTCCTTTTAACAGCTGCGTTGCTCTTGCAGGAACTGACAATGTTCTTACTCTGTCTGACTGGCAATTAAAAATGAGAGGAATTACATGAGGTTTCATTATTTTTTTACCACCCATTAGTTTAAACCGTATAGCTACTAGACATATAGAGGCCCTGCCTATGCTAATAGTCCAGGAACTTGTGGAGCAAATATGTAACAAAATTTTGAGGTCTGTTCAATATGCGTATGTGCGAGATTTGAAATTTCGTTTTTAACCAATGGTAGCTCGAACTGCATTTTCTGACGTTCAACCCATAATGCCTAGCGGCTTCCAATAATGTCACATGATCTTATTGTTTCAATCCTAAATACCGTGATGGCTTAATATTTTAGTTTTATACTATGCTGTACTTTTGGATCACATGATCTAAGGAAACTATTTCAAATAAAAAGTACTTTGTTACCGGGTTGCGCTACGACCAGATGTGTTCTTTTTTAGCCCGTCTCCTCTAAGTAAAATAGAAGTTAAACAACAAAATAAACATGGCGCAGTTAAATATTCGAACCTAAAAGAAGCCAACGATGTCGACCTGACGCTGAACTGAGAGCAAGACCGAAAGATTGCGTGATTTTCTGGATGTTTGCAGATTAACATTTTTGTAAGAATGGAACGTGGTATATCGCCCATGAGCTTTACCAGTGGTAATCTTGGTCAAGAATGGAAATTTTGGAAGCAGAAGTTCACAACCTATCTCAAAGCAACAGAAATTATTAAAAAGGGGGAGCGACAAAATGTGCTCAACTTTTGACCTTGATGGGAGATGAAGGTATTGGAATTTATAACACATTCACATATGAAGATGATGTAGAGGAAACTTTAGAATTGCTTTTTAAAAAGTTTGATGAATATTTTAATCCAAAAACTAACCTCACTTATATAAATTTTTATCATGTCGGCAGAAAGAAGGCCAAACTATAGAACAATTTATAATTGAATTAAAAAACTTGTCATTATCTTGTGAACTGGAGAATTTGAGAGAATCTTTAATAAAAGACTTGTTGGTATGCGGTTTGAAATGCGATAAATTAAGAAAACAGCTGTTTGATAAAGATTGCAAGACTCTATAGGAAGCAGTCAGCTTTTGTGTGAGTTCTGAGTCCACAAAAGAGCAGAATCAAAACATAACAAATGGTTTTGGTGACAACAATGGAGATGTAAACGCTGTCAAGAAGTTCCGTCCTGAACAATCAAAGTTTAGGCATTTTTCCAACCAGACGAGATCTGTTCTGTCCAGTAACTACAGTGCGAGAAGTTTGCAGCAAAACCAGCCATGTCGTAATTGTGGTCGAGTACATGGGTAGCGACAATGTCCGGTGTACCAAGTTAAGTGCAGAAAATGTTTAGGTTTTAATCATTTTTCTCATTTATGCTTAAGATTTTCTAATTACAGTAATAATATTAATAAAAAATTATTCTTTCAGCAGAAACAAAATGCTAACTTTAAAAAAAACAACAATTTTAAAAAAGGGGTTCACACGGTTGAACAAAACTCTTCTTTAAGTCAAGATGACGATAGTAAGAATTTTTTACTTTTAGACATCATCGAACAAAACTTTTCTATTAATCCTGCTCTGGGACAATAGGGACAGTCTACGAGAATTCTTGGGTGACGAACCTTGAGATCAATGATAGGGCAAACATATCATTTAAGATAGATACTGGGGCAATGGCAAACATAATACCTGTGAGCATACTAAATAAAATAAATTTTAACATTCCAAACTTGCAAAAAACAAATGTAAAACTAAGCTCGTATACAAAACAAAATTTACCAATTTTGGGCCAGTGTTTTCTAAAATGTAAATCGAATAATAAGATTAACAACCTTTTATTTTATGTAGCAGACATTAATAGCATACCAATTTTAGGTTTGAAAGGTTATTTAGAACTGACAAAAAAAATTCAATCAATAGATGATTTTTCTAATAATTCAAATGTCAATCAAATTTTAAATAAATACAAACATATTTTTCGTGGAATAGGTTGTCTAGAAGGGGAATATCATATAGAACTTAAAGAGAATGCTATATCTTCAGTTTGTCTTGCTAGAAAAATTCCGATAGCTTTGACTAAAAAATTAAAACATACTTTAAATGAATTAGAAAAAGGAAAAATCATAAAAAAGGTAACTAAATGTACCGATTGGGTAAATCCCATAGTAATTGTTAAAAAACCTAATGGAAATTTTCGCATTTGCTTGGATCCTTCTCGATTAAATCAATTTTTAAGGAAACCAACCTTTCGTTTGCCTACTTGGGATGAAATAGCATCAAAAATGCATGGTTCTAGATATTTTAGTACTTTAGATGCAACCCGGGGGTTTCTCCAGATAAAATTAGATAAAGAAAGCTCTAAACTTTGCACGTTTGCAACAACACCTTTTGGTAAATATTCTTTCCGGAGATTACCCTATGTTCTTTCATGTTCATCTGATTAAAAAACCTTTTTATCTTACTCCACCAAGATTACAAAGAATGCTCATGCAGTTAAAAAAATATGATTTTGACCTTATGTATAAACCAAGCAAAAAACTCATTGTGGCAGACACTTTGAGTCGAGCTTTCAATTCAAAAATTAACTTTAATGAAAGTCTTGATTTTGATATTGAGTCACAAATCTGTGCTGTTGGGCTTTCCCTTAATACTGATGAGAAAAAAAAAGCAAATTCGAAAGTTGACTCGTGACGATCTAGAACTTTGTTTAATAAAAAGCATTTTGGAGAAAGGTTGGCCCAAAAGCATCAGAAGCTGTCCGGAAAGTGTCAAGTAGTTCTATTACAGATTTAAAGAAGAAATTTCTTGTGTCGATCGACTTATTTTTAAGGGCCATAAATTAATTGTTCCTCAAGCCCTACGTAAAGAAATTTTTCAAAAACTCTATCATAGCCATTTAGGTTATAAAAAATGTTTGGATATGGCTAACTTGTCATTTTTCTGGCCAGGGATGCGAAAACAAATTGAAGACATGATAACATCTTGCAATGCATGTCACATGTATCAGAGATCTCAGACTTCTGAGCCTTTGAGGCCTCACGACATTCCCAGATTGCCTTGGCAAAAGGTAGCTGCAGATATTTTTCAATTTCGATCAGAGTGTTACCTCTTAATTGTCGATTACTATTCAAAATTTGTGGAAGTTGTTAATTTGAATCAAAATTTAACCTCTCAAAATTTAATTAATAAATTCAAATCAATTTTTTCACCTTTTGGTATTTCCAAAATTTTAATAACAGATAATGCAAGCAAGTTTTGTAGCTTAGAATTTAAGAATTTTTCAAAAAAAAAGAGCTCAAAACATCCAAAGATTTTCCATCTCGAAGCTCGAGAGAGCCAAGGAGTTTTCCTGAGTTATTTTCAGAAAATAATTTTCATAATAATAGATATTTTTTGAAAATAGTCAATAATTCAAACAACAATGAAAAGTCCATTTCTGGAGATGTAGAAAATTCTCCTATACAGAATGATTCTGATAAAGAATATATACAGGCTGATCCTGGTGTAAGCAACAACTCTGGTAGCAATTTAAATGTAAATAGCTGTAGTGACAATGACAGCCTTGTGAGCTGTAGTTCTAGTTCTTTTTTAAATTCTAGTTTTATAAATTCCAACTCTGACCAAGAAAAAACTCTAAAAAATGTAAATAACTCTTTTGACAACTATCAATTGGAAAATGTAGAGAATATAAAACTTTTAGAAACTTCAAAGAAGGGGAGGAGAGCACTAGTCGTAGAACTAGATCTGGACAAAGTGTGAAAATTCCACAGAAACTTTCTGACTGTCGTGGACACTAGTCCACAGTCTTAAAAAAATATATATATATTTTTTTGCTTATACAACTTTTGTACTCTCACTTTACATAAAGTGAAAACTTCTTTTTTTTTTATCAATTTTAAACTCCTTCACACAAGGTAACCATCATTATTTTAATTTCACGGTTGGTCCAAATAAAACTCAATTTGTCTTTATACATATAAGGAATTATATTTTGTCAATGTAATAAATTTACTGTTTAACTTTAGCTTTTACTAATTAAAATTAATTAGTATTTAACATCAACTTAAGCACTTTTAAATGATTTTACAAAAATCAAAAAAACCAATTTTAAATTTAAAATAAAATCACTGCAGTTATGAATTTGTCTGTCTACAGTTTTGTCCATATATGTAAATTGACCATAAAAGTGATAGAATATTGTGATATTAGATATAAGGTAACGATAACAATAAAATTAAATCAGTTAAATAAGATTTTAAATAGGTGACCCAATCATTACTTTCAATTGTTCATTAAACTGAGTCTGGTTTCCAACTTATTAATTATGTTTTCATCATACATTTTGACTTGTAAACTCTATTTGTAGAAAGTTAAACTTTTAAAATTTTATTGTAAAAAGGGGGATGTCACATGATCTTATTGTATCAGTCCTATATACCGTGATGGCTTTATATTTTAATTTTATACTATGCTGTACTTTTGGATCACATGATCTCAGAAAACTATGTCAACTAAAAAGTACTTTGTTACCGGATTGCGCTACGAGTAAAGTAGAAGTTAAACAATAAAATAAACAAATAACCAACATAATTTCGTAAGTATTTTAGCGTTTTGGTTCTTTAAGCGCTGTAGACACGATACCAGCTAATTTTTCCCGAATTTGTGCCCGTAAATCGGCGCGCAAACAGCTTGTTTTTATAAACTTATTGGTATAACCTCTATTGAAAATGTAAATAAAGTCGAATTCACGAAATGTGCTTTAAAAGTGACTTTGAGGTACTAGATATCGCACTGTAGCC